ACTGATTCTGCCAAAGAGGTCCTGTCGCGAGTAAAAAGGAGAATAAAGAAGGAACTTGTGACGCTACGTGTGATTCATTTTCGTCGTCGTCAGAGTATCTTCGGACTTCTATTTCATTTTTCAACCGGTCGTCGGACAGTCGTGAAAATTGCATTCGTTTTTCCAGCCGAACAGGACGAATTCGTTCTCATTTGCTCTTCTTTTTAAGTACTTAAGTTACCTTGTTTACCTTATCCTTACAATGAACGAGGTAGATACGGTATTTCCGACGCTTGTCTTATCAGAGAGAAGAAAAAGGAAAGGTTACAAGGATTACAGTCCAAAAAGTACAGCTACAAGGGACAGATATTTTGTAACGATGTTTGCATATGGCCTTGTGATTGACTGGGAGAAAATCTGCAGGAAGCGGGCAACTCATTCTTCATACCTGAGCAGTGGAAAGGGGAATAGTAGCTACGTTTAAACAGCTGCCGCCATCTGACCCCTTTCGCACCCCCGCACGAGCTCTCAAGGTTACACAGAAAAATATGTTTCATTGTCCCTAGAATGCACGTCCCTGAGCGATGATGTAGCATCGTTCTTCTTTCCTCCAGTGATCCTTTTGCATTCGTGGAAAAAAAGATCGCGCTGTCGGGATGAAAATATGCAGTTCGTTTCATATTCTGAGCACGAGTACGAAGCATTGACTGCCTTTCGAAAGAAAGGATTTCCTTCTCAGAAATATGTTTGTGGATGTGTGTTTGTTTAAATGAATGAACAAATCTATTTAGGGAAGAAAAATAAGAAGATATGATTTGTAAAAATTGTCAAAAAGATAATAAAAGAGAAGGAAAAGAGAAAACAAAGTTAAAAATTTTTCAACAGAATCGCTGATTATATAATCTGTAATGAATTATACCATCAATCGAAGATTGTAAACAATTCGCAATTATAAATACTGATCTTGAATTGTATAAGCTTGCGAAATGTTCGTTGAATCGCCGATGATTTCACTGGCTGAATAAGGAAATTTTCCAACAAAACAAAGAAAAGAAATACTGTCTTAAAAAATAAAAAAAAAAATATGTATAGCTGAAAATTCGACAAATCTTTGTGAGTTTCTGATATATTAAATTTAATGTAAAAGAAAGATATTCCCTATCTTGTTTTAAGTCCGTATAAAAAAGTATGTATTTTTTATATCTCTTAAATAATTTTTTAATAATAGCAATATACTGTATATTTTTGTATGTATAAATAAGTAGACGAACTTCTAGAACGAAGTTGAACGGAAGTTGAAATCAGAAGAATGTACAATTTAAAAATAACACTTAACGTTTGTTACAACTAAAGGTCCCGGTCAATAATCCATTAAGATGGTGCTGACACCAGTCAGTCGACATCATTTTCACACCTTTGAAAGGTGTTGAACACCATTGCATGTTTTTTAACGTAACACGAACCTTCTGTTTTCTTTTTTTATGACACCGGCGTAAAATAGACGATACTTCTTGAAGGATCTTGTGGGATGTATCTAGTTGGCACACGCGCCCTCTAACTACAATTATCAAGTTGCTATCGAGTCCTTTGTGTGAGCGGACCTAAATCCTGATTTTTCACCCATGAAACTTTTTTACAAGCGTTGGAAATATCTTTACAAGTGTTTTGGTAACAAAAGCTTGCACAATTATCGATGTATTGTTATAAAATAGGTGATAATGGTTACAAATTTATTCACGATCGTGACGAGTGTTCGACGGTCAGAAGAAGGGAAGATAAGGTCCTCAACAGGTACTCGAATATGCGCGTGGCTCAAAGTTTATTCATGTGAGGTAACGGGATAAGACTTACTAAACCGTTATTGTCTAGCAGAAAATGATATTTGTAAAAAAAGACCCCTGTGGGAAATGTGGTTCGCGGTGAGTAATGCATATTGACTGATTGAAAAATTTTGATTGACTGAATCAATTAAAAGCAACATCGAGTAAATCGTGGTTACATGCAAGGATTGTTTTAATCGATTACTTTGATCTGATTGATTACACATTGATCAGTAATTAATTTTACAAATCGATCCAATTATTCGTAATCGTATTAATTATGGCGATTGATTTATTTTAATTATTAATTTGCCGATTATTTCAGCCAACTAAGATTTTTTAACTAATCAATTTCCAACACTGCTCGCAATTGCAAATTGCAAAATGCCGAAATAGAAATTACATATTAACGATAATGATAACAATTTTACACAACAGAGAAGTAAACGTAAATAAAATTCAATGTAAAAATGATTACGACGCCATAACATCGATTGTTATCATGTCATTGTCACTACTTTTAAAATAAGATGGTATCGCAGGCAGAATTTTCGACGAGTAATATATTGTTGATAATGAATATCATTGTTTTCTTCGGTCGGGATATGTTTCGTTACCAAAGCGAAAAATTGTCGCACACTGAAGTCAAAGTTTCTCTTTTAGTCTTCACACTGTGCTAAAAATACATTTCTAATGCAATACATAGCCATAAGCGAATTATCGCAAGCAACGTTGGAACCACTTTGTCAAATCGCCGCTTTGACTGAAATTTTGAGAGCGTATATTCAGCATGCGAATAAACTTATGCCTATTACAGTTGAAAGTCCCATTGTTAATAACAAGTAAAAAATTTGTTCCGTTATTTTTCGGCAGTTGTTTTGCGAAAATGTCGTAAAATGTCCGCAGTGGGCTCAATAAATATTCACGTTACGGTTACATCCTGTATGTGTTGTACCGAAATATGTTGACCTGACGCGGATCTACTGTACGCTATGATTTTTACGACCATTTTTACGAGCAAAACGTTCATTAATCAAACGAAACTGTAACATTCGGTAAACATTATTCTTGCGAAATTTTACACGTCATGCTACACGCGTTTAGTGCAAAGGGTAGTCCAAAAAGGCACAAAATACAAACGAGACAGTATGCTAGAAAGGAGTTGCATGGGTTCACTTTCTAATGCCTTCGATCCTATTGCTCTGCGCGCATATTGCTCTCATCTTTCCGTTTTTAATGGACTCTATGAGAAAAACTGATAGCAAAAACCAGATCCCGCAGACAGCAACAAATTTTTTTGCACACGAATTTCGCAGAAATAGCGCTTTGTGCCTTAACCGCTCGCGCAAAGGCGAAGTATGACCTTTTTGCTTCGTGAGAAATTCAAAATGCTGTCGGTCGAAAGTGACCAAAACTCTGGGAATGAAATTTTGTATCGTGTGCTTTGCTGTCAAAAGCTCTAATTGCATTTTTGCGTAAAAATGTGTCGTAGTTCTGCTAAAATCGAATAAAATCGAATTTTCCCAGATTCCGAGGTGCAAAAATGCATTTTACATCGAATGCGTTTAATAGACAAGTATATAACGTGCCACGCACATGTAACCCTGATCTTCGGCGAGAGATCGGTGCGCGGCACACCTATAACCTTGGTCTGTTCTTTTCAGCTGCACTGCGGAACTAGTGCAATAAGTTAGAATGAGACAACTATATTTTTTCTCACTTTAACTTATTGCACCAGTTCAGTAGTGCAGCTGAAAAGAACAGACCACTATAGTAGCGAAAGTGCTGCACTAACCGTGGTCATCCCGCGGTTCCTCTTCTCAAATTGATTGAAGTTTTCAGTGGAATACTCGCGCCTTACGCACATAACGCTCGCATACAAACTCGTGAAAATGAGCGCGTTCCTGTTTTAGAAGAAGCTAAAATATCTCGCGTCTCTCGATAGATCCTTTCTGCCTTTCTAATCTGTCTGGCTAGGGAGCTTTTCGGGAAAGGGTACGGCTGTCGGGACGTAGGAGTGAAAACATACCTAGTTGGACAGAAAAAGGAAGTTCTCCATTACTGCGCGCGGTATAAACGTAGATTACACGCTCGCTGAACGAGGGTGGGGAAAAGGCCCTCGGCTGAGCCTAAGGGCCGTCCTGATTGGACAGAGCCGCGGTAACGCGGAAAATTTCCGGGAAATTAAATAAGTGTCCTTGCGCTTACTTCAATTAAGCATAATTGATGAATGAATAACGTCTCTCGCTTTCGTCGGCTACTATGCGTCGGCAGAAGAATAAAGCGGATAAGATTTTTGTACGTGCTTTCACATCACACGGTTCCCGAGGAAGAAGAAGAGCCTGGGGCTCGTTGGAAAAAGATTAACAAAAACAAAAGATCAAAAAAAGTAAAACGTACGAGTGAAGAAGAAATACGAATATAACGGAAGCCCCATAACAGGAAACTGCGGCAGCTCACATCGCGAATCGCGACCGGCGCGGCGCGGCGCGGCGCGGCGGCGCGGCATAAGGGATGACGACGTTCAGCTGATAGGAGACGCGTGCGATAACAGGGGTGAGTTCTCTCTCAGGCGAGAGCGACTGGCTACGTCTCCGCGGGAACGGGAGAACGAGCGAATGAGTGAGAGAATCAGAATAAACCCGGGGGTTGGCAAGAAACGTTGGGGAGAGGGGCCGTGCGAGCTACGGCAACATCTATGAATGCGAACGATAGCCCTGCCATTGGACAGAAGACTAGGGCTGGCCTCTGGCCGGGAAGTAGAGATGGTGTAGCTGCCCCTTCGAATTCAGTATTCAGTAGTCTGTTCCAATACTTTGGGACCTAAAGCGGATGCTGTGTCAGTCGATGTGGAGCACTCGCGTAGATCGCCGTATTCGTCGTATCTTGCGCTTGTATACATGTACTTAGATATATATATATATAACAAAAAAATATATATATATATATATTCCTCTTTCTTTTCGCGTATACCGATCGTATAGCGGCGTGTATAACATATCGTTCATATCGTAATTCGATCGCGTCGTCTGTCTTACGCGGATTGTTAACGTAATCAACGCTGTCCCACGCAAAGACACTTGGTTTTGCTTTTTATCTGTCTTCGTCGAGATACAAATCGACACAAGAGAGAGAGAAAGAGAGAGAGAGAGAGAGAGAGAGAGAGAGAGAGAGAGAGAGAGAGAGAGAGAGAGAGAAACGAAGATCGATCTGGAAAGAGTGAGAGAGAGAGAGAGAGAGAGGGAGAGGGAAGTTAAAGAAGAAAAGTGAAAGACGAGGATCTCACCTGAAGAAGGGTCATCGCCGAGCTTTTGAAGGAATTCCCGGCGAGATCGGAACAATGCTGACAGAGATGGCAGTTGTCATACGTTAGGTAAATTGCACATTCATCATTGAATTATACGAGACTGAAATTGGCTGGATGAGTTGAGCCGGCAAAGCGCGAATTTTCCGGCTCCTCCGGGAAGCGGAGTCTCACGGCACGGTTCGTTGACAGAGAAGAAAAACTCACTCGAATTGCCGCTTCGAGCTTCGCGCGGTTTTCTTCTGTTTTTTTTTTTTTTTCGTTACCTTCGTTCGATCTGTCATTCTTTTTATTACTTTATTGATTATTATAGTCGTGACGTGATCGTTCTTGAGAGCGTCTTCGTTCAGCAGCTGATCGAAGACGTCCGCGATTGGTTCTCCTCAATGGAGACTCACGCGCTTCTCAGCATGCCTGATAACAAATTTGTCCGATCGTGTCGAGGTTGACGAGGTTCGGTCCCGATTACGAATTTTCCAGATCGCACTATTTTCCACTGCCAAACACGGAGTTTCCTTTCAATTTTGCTCCTCCTAATTTCCCGACCAGCGAGAGACATTTTGCCGAACGGCACGAGGGGAAGGGGCGGCGGCGGCGGCGGCGGCATTCTTCGCGTATTTGCGGCAGCCGTTGATAAATACCAGGACTTTGTGTTACTGAAGCGACGATTCTGTTTTCGAAGCTATCTGTTTGTGCGGAGCGCGGTTTTGAATTTTTTTCCCCATCTCGAAACTTCCTCGAAACCCCGCGCTTTCGGCCTTCGGGCCTTGAGACCGTTGCCCGCTCGCGGTGATCTCTCAGTGCGCGGTAACAACGATGATTTTCGATGATAACAACGATGATGGGACGAACGGAGAAGCGGAGAAATCCGAGAGTTCGGATTTCGCTCGCAATCTTGACGACGAACTTGGCGAATCCGCTCGAGATACCGATGGAATGTCCACGTCCGATAACGCTCAATCGTTTTGCAAATATTCCCGAGCCGTTATAGTCGAAATTTGGGAATTCTCATCGATTACGGAGCTATAACATATGAGAGAGTGTTAAATGTCAATCGATTGTAATTTCCGTTAACATCAAGTAAATTGTCAAGCAAGTAAATTGTCATCACAGATCATAACTATTTCAACCGATTAAATTATTTGCAATTAATGTAACATAAATAACAACAACAACAATAATAATAACTATATGCAGTAATAATAATAATGATTCCCGTTAAGGAATGTTATTAGTATTATTACTACACATAATGACGATTGATTCATTTTGATCGGTGACTTGTCGATTACTTTGCTCAGCTGAGATTCCGGACATGGATTATCGTTCAACGAGAATGCAAAAATCTCAAGGACAAAAATGTTTTATGGATGTGCCGTCTTATCGGCGATTCATGGAGCGCGCGAGTTCCGAACGTCCGGACGCTCCGTAACGCTTGTTTACGCGGCGAACTGCGCGACTATTTGCAGCTACGAATGTGAGCTTTGTCATAATCATCGTCAAGTTTCTCGCTTCTCCCTTCAGGTCTGCCTTCCTTCAAGTTACCGCGGTGAGAAGAACCAAAACGATGGAGGAACGAAGAGTGATCGAACGTTTAATTCAGTACAGAGAGACGCGCGATTTTCTCATTATCGCGCTCATGCGAGTTCTCTCGGCGAGCTAACCGGGAGATAAGAGGGTGAACTCACCCTCGAATCCCGCCCGACACCCTCTTCCGCTAATCATCTTCCCTCCTCTCGCTCTTCCGCAAATTCCCTTGTCGTAAGTTTCCGAGTATCTCTACGAGGACTACTGTATTGGATTTTGTTTTCACGGCTGCATTTGCCTCCGAATTGTATCCCTTTAACTTACGAAAATACACAAAACTGCACAGATGAAGAAATAAAAGTTCCAAATTGTGATAAATTTAACTCAAACTAACACATCTGTATTTCGAGAAAAGCAGTAAGGAAGGAGGACACGAATCAAACATCATTTTAATATGGCTTCGACAGCTCCCAGCGATTCTTTGACTTTTTTGAGGGTTATCCCCCCCGTCTTCTCATGAAAAAGAAGAATCGCTTCTTTCGCGCATAAATCCGGCCGGTCGATCAATTACTTTCGTCGTATTTTGCGAATTACGCGCAAAATCAGGCACTTCTCCTCGTTGTGTGAGCATGAATCAAGCGAGGAGCCGCGCTTACGATACATGCGACGCGTACACGCAGCTCAATATTATTGTCATTATTGTTATTGGCGAGGATACTTCGTATTTTCTTCAGGAGAAATGAAAAGTTCGTCCGACTGATTTTGATCGAACTCGCGATCGAAATCCGCGCGAAGGCGTTTCGTCGTGTTATTTGGCGATTTTCGCTCCATCCCGCTCAGATTCGCCGATAATCGTCGATTTGCCGATATTCGTGAAGCTTATCCGGTTCATTCATGCCGCAAGGATATTCGGGCTCTCGTTCGCATCTCGCCCGTTTTATTCCGCCCAACGCGTAATAAAGCGTTTCGGCCGATCTGCCGCGATCGAAATTTCCACTTGTGTATCTTTCCATTTGTCGTATATTTTTTTCTATTTATTGTCATGATCCTGGCGCGTGTCTTGCTCGGAATTTCGAAACACCGCAAGTCTTCGTCGTCGTCGTCGTCACGAGCTTTACCGGGAGCAGTTTCAATTAGAATTCGCCGATAACGAAATTCCAAAGGAGCGGGCAAACGGTCACTCGTGAAACGTCGTCGTCGAGTCGTTGTCGCCGTGGACAAGTTGTTTCAAATATTTCCTATTACGCGAAGTCCGCTATTTTTCCGATTTTTCAAGTGAAGAAAGATGAGATTACAATTAAACGACCATTTGAGTACGTTTGAAACGACCATTTCGACGAACCATTTGAAACGACCATTTCGTCGAAGCAAATTATTTTTTGATTGTTCTAGAAAAGGGAGATTGAACTTACGTCTCGTTGAGCAGGTCGATATCCGTTTCGAAATGTCTCGAAGAAGACCACTAAGATAAAAAGATCGTTATCGGCCATTGAATGCGTCAATCTTTTTATATTTAATGGCGTTGATAACGAAAAAAGTAACGATGATAACAAGAAGAAAGCGGTAAAGATAAAAAGGAACATAAAGAAACAAGGGGAAAAGATAATTTTTCCGCTGTTCCTTTTGTTGATGCTTTTCGTCACGATTTTACGTTATATCGCGAGCTTGTTAAGAGGCGCCGATAAACCGTCCGTTACAATCGACATTCTTCATCAGACGTACGCACAACGGGAAGACAAAAATGTAAACAAATGGTCGGAGCATCGTTCGATACATCTTGAATTCATTTATCGTCGTTGTTCATTTCGTCGCTCGTTCGTTATTCGCGTGCGGATTATCGCTATTTTGATATTCAGACGAAATTGCGATTCGCGTTATTCGCTGATACGCCTCATACAAATAGTGTGTAGATTCGTGTGATAGATAGAACGAGAAAGAGAAAGAGAGATATACATATATCGGGTGATTTTGTTTGCGTAATTTCACGATATGGAATTACTTCGACTTCGTTCAGGTCATTTTGAAGACGATGAATGATCGCGTATTCACGTACGAAAGAATAAAGACGGCATCGTCGAGACGCTTGCGATGGACGAATGCGAATTCGAGAACGAATCTAGAATATTTGTACGGACGGGCAATTATTTATCACGGAGCGTCGATCTCTCTCGTGAAGCGAAACTCGAATAATTTTCATGTATCGAGATTCGTCGAAGCGACTGCCCTGTTATCGCCTTATTCCCGTCACATTGCTCGTCGCAGCCTCGTAACATCCAATAGATGACAGCAACAACGGATAATTCTTTTCGACTGTGGACATCTTTTAGACTTGTACATACATTATTATTGCTATTATTTTACTTAAAGTTATACTATAATAATTATATAATAATAACAATTTTATTGCTTCTATATATATGGCTCAAGAGTTTTTCTCCCTCTTTATCTTTTCATACCACAACAATAATTAATAACCAATAATGCGTAGTAAATAATAATGATAATGATGATAATAATAATGAACAAATAATAAAAGTAGCAAATAACAACGCTTTTGTAACAAGCTTCTCTTCTTTGACTAAGAAAATGTTTTATTCTTCTTTAGCTAAGAAAACATTTTCATTCGAAAAATTCGCTTCCGCTTCGAATCGGGATCTGTCGGCATTTTTTTTTAAATCTTTCAAAAAATCGTCATTCATTCGTGGAAGGATTAAGAAAGATTTTCGATCATAGAAGATTGACGACTTCAGAGTGACAGGTAGAAATTCTAAAAGGAGATTTGAATGCACCCTTTTTACCGTGTCGCTCACTTGGCACCCTCGCGGTTCATTAATCGGATTTCACGCCATGTTTCTTAGTTTTTCACTCGTCATTCGGCCACAAATCCTGAGCCATGAGCACTTGGAATGTTACCCTGCTCTCGTCGGTCTATCTCCAACGAAAGAAATAAGCATGATCTTGTTGAAGGGCGACAATTTGCGCGGTGATCGTAATTCTCCTTCGGCTGAAAGAAACAGAGACTGAAAGTAACGAGAATTAATCTAACCGTTTGTCACAACAATCGTCAGGTCATCGACCCCATCGTCGAGCTGGCGCGTCACTTTTCGAAAGGGAAGCGCTGGGAGGGCTTAGTTTTGTACGGTAGGTCAGTCGTTCTCGTTGACGTCCTCCTTCCGTGGCCATCCACCTGATACTTCTGTCGTGACCCAATATTATTTACCAGCGAGCAGCCCAAGAAATTGAAGTTAATAGCCAGTCATTTGGGGGTCGGCCGATTCCGGGTGTTGAATGAACAGGACGTTGGCTTCATTTGAATGCAGTATGATAAAATGTCCTTGAACATTGCATAAGGGAATAAAAATATAGGAAATTCGATTAACTGAATTTTCCCGCGCGCCTGACGAGAAACCACCGTGAGAGAAATGATGTATTAAAAACTCTTATTTAAAAATCAACATTGCGTTGATTCAATAATATAAAGAAAATTGAGTTTTGTTCTCACCGAGAGCGGAATTTCGTACAAAATTCGCACAGAATTTCTCTGTCACTTCCTGATTTTTCTTCCTTTGTGATCATTTAACGCATCTCACTACGAGCTCGACAACTGCGAAGATAAAGAAAATGGCCCTTTCCTAAATTTTTATTGTGAATAACAATAAAGTTTGCTCTATTTTTGGCGAAAAGATGGCTTAGTTCCGCAGAAAGTAATGAGTTTTCCTTGTACAATTGTCTTTCATTGTCTTAAGCGTAATTCTTCTAGAGAATCGAACTGTATATCGAATTGCGCAATGCAATTGATACGTGTGATATCGAGTCGCTCAGACATCGTTGCTTGGAAAAACAAATTTATTTATTTTTCCTTATTTATCTATCTATTTAATTATTTACTTTTTACTAATTTTTTCATCAGGTTTTCATCCTTATCTTCTAATTAATTACTTACGGGTAAATATTTTCCCTTTAGTGCAATACTTAATTTCGAATGTGATGTAATGAGCAGAGCACGATTGCATATACGTTCAAACGGTGAAAAATGGTATGAAAAATATTTGGAAAATGTTTCTCATAAGATGAGAGAAATTCTTACCGGGTGATCCTGCTGAGATTTTTATAGTGTAAAGAAGAAAAGAAAGGAGTGACCTTGTACAAAATGTACAGCCAATTTGTATTTTCACAGAAAAGGACACAGAAAAGTAACCTAGTTTCTCTCGGGAAAGAGCGCACCAATCAGAAATCAGGTTCTTTACCCTTGTTACCTTCGTTCATGCTAAATATTCATGCCATTCATCCTTGCTTTAACTCATTTCCGTGACTGTGCCATTGTAACTTTCGGTGATGTTTATCCTCATTTATAATTGCTAGTAAAATATTAGTGTGACAAGTATAGTTAGGATTACGGAATTCCAAAGAATCGCCAGAGAAATGAAAAAAAAGAACTGGAGCAAAACGCGTCTTCCGCGCACTCGAGATGATCGTGTTGTAGATATGAAATTTCCAAAATTGTTCATTCTTTCCACGAACAACGACTAATCTATCTTTCGTGATTTTTAAGGATCGCGGCAAGATAGGCAAACGCTCGATCGGTACGAGGGAATTCTATATGCGAGCACTGAAGCAACAGCAACAACGACAGAAACAGCAAGACGAACCTCCACTCCATCTTCAGCCACGCCCGTTTGGGGTGATAGGATCGTGGTGAGTAATCGCGCAACCCCTCGCCGATTCGAACCCCCTGAATCTCTCTCCCTCTCTTTCTCCCTTTCTCTAGATTTTTCTGCGAGTCTCCCCGCGTATATCACATATTTTATCCTTCTCATCCTTCAAATTGCTCCCTCTGCGCCAGAAACGAAACAAAATGTCGCTACGACTTCGACAGTAGTAGCCGCACTACTCGGAGACTGACTGTATCGAAAGATTCTTCCTCCCTTCAGCATTTGTTTTAATCTTCCTTGTCTCTCTTCACGTTGCCGGATGAACGTGGAAATACGTGTTTTAAAATAAAGAAAAAAATAAATCACGAAGAGAAAGGGAAAAAGAATAAACCGATGATAAAAAATTATTAAACTTCACTGCAAATTATATTTCGAGAAAATGAACGTACTCGCAAGAATAGAAGACGTAAGGGAAATGGAGATCTCTTCAAGTTTGAAATAAGATAAATTCAATCATCCCTTCACCTTTCTTTTCTCAAACATTTTTATTCCTGATTCCCAGCCGGCTCTGCGACGATCTGCGACGTTCATACATTTATATACATTCTTTCTTCCGAGAAGAGAAGAGAAGAGATTCAATGAAGTTGTCCAATTTATTCTCTGTTTTCACAGGTACATGTTTCGTGGGGAACAACAAGCCTGACCGTAACTTAACATCGCTTAACCACAGCTCCAGCTGTAGCAGCGATTGCTACAGCGACAGCATGCGATCGTCTGTTTTGGATAATCCCTTAGTGTCGTTTGAGAATACCATTTACCAAGACTTGAGCCCTGCACCGAGCACTAGCACAGAAAATAGCCCGCAGTCCAAAGAATCTGAGTCGCAGCTGAACGCTATGGTGGAGAATTATGACCCAGGCGAGGGGCCTTCTACTGGCAACTTGCAAGACAAATGTTCGATTTGCGACTTTACCACAAACAATAGGTACGCCAATCATCCGTCGAAACAAGAGTAGCAATTAAGACGATTGTCGCACATTTCGTGACAATGCGATCGTTATCTTACAATTTAAATGTTACTTCCAATTTCTGCTAATATGCCTGCAGGTACTTGGAAGAGGTAGTGTTCACCATTGATTAATGATTAAAATTTACATTAAACTTCAATGAAACATTAATTGAATCTTTATTTCAAACTGAAATTCTCCGATCTCTTTCTAATGATCTTTCAAATCATTCTTTCATCTTATTGATATATATTATAATGTCTTGATATAATTATGATTCAATTATTGAGTTGTATCACACAGATAATTACGGATTTGTCACAAGTAAGTAAAATGAAACGATTGTATTTTTACATCGTTATAATTTAATGAGACAATATAAGCATTATTTTGATTTGGAGTTTTTTGCCATCTTCCGTATACATTGTTTCGTAAAATTATAATAATATAAGAGTAGAATTGTTTCGTTTTAGCTGAAAAATTCGAAATTATTTATTACATGATATTGCGATATATTTATTACATGATATTCTGATATATTGAGTAAGTGGAAGTAAAAGTTGGACGGATTTCGTGATAGGAAAATAATCTAAGCAATTTTATTATAATACAATTATATTTTTTTATTGGTTCAAGTAATTGCCATTGTTTTCTCTCATCTTTGGTATATTATACATCTATATATTTGTAACTGTTGCCATAAAACTCAGTCATCTTTGAAAAACTCATTCAAATTTTTGCACTCACCCAATTAATGATAATATATAAAAAATATAATACAGCCAAGTCAAAATACAACAGGTACAAAATACAAAATATAACAGATTAATTGGACAATCGACAATTACGGAATATACGTATATTCAGACACAATATGAAAGAATTAAAAAAAATGATTAAAGTTTTAGTGATTATCAATGTAAACATAAAACGTAATGTAATGTAAATGTAAAATAAAATTGCTAACAAGAAGTTTCAAACGCAAATGTACATGTTCAAATAAAAGGAATTCTGTAAGAACTGAAATAAAAGACGACTTAACTAAAGGAATACCATCTTGATCAATAGATAAGAGAGGAAGAAAGAGAGAGAGAGCAGGGTATATCGATTAGGGTGGGTCCCGGTAGCTTAATAACAAAACAATTTCCCGGTAAACGAGCAGATCCTGTGTTTGAGCTTCGGTTTTAATAACTTTTTTCTCCTATTCCATTTCAAGAGAATATATTCCAGAAGAACTCAAGTACTAATTTTTAAAAAATCATATCTCTCATTCGCCACTCTAACAGAAATTCATTACTGACTGTAATAAATTGGCCAGTGACAATAAGTAAATTTATTAATCTTACGAATAATTTTATCACTCATACGAGTAATAAAATTCACCGAGGAAGGTGAGACTGTTTGTATGGGAGTGAGGGCCCAGGATAGACCGAGAGCACGTTGAAGAGACGACCTGAAGAGATATATAAAGAGGGTCTCAGACCAAGGTTCACCCCACTGAGCTATAGTGTTGCTGGATGATGACGATGATGACGAGTAATAAAATTGCTTATTATCACCGGCCAATCTATTACAGCGAATAATAAATTTCTGTAAGGCGCTCTCGATTCAATTCAACAGCTCTGATTTAAAGACAACTCACGCAACGCGTGCGAAATCATTCACACGATCTCGTGCCTTTTTTCCTTCCAGGGACGAGATCGTCCAGCATTTGACCGAACACGTCGTGTCCCGGAACAACACCAGCTCGGACATCATCAACATGGCGTTGGCGCAGTTGAAGCACCTCCACGATTCGGAGAACCGCGACTTGTCGTCGAGGGACAACGACAGCCATGAGACCAATAGCTGCATCGATGAGCCGGGGGTGCGGGTGCCCCGCGTAAATTCGCAGGGCAAAATGAAGACCTTCCCGTGCAAGAACTGCGACTTCAAGGCGGTGACGAAGCTTGAGTATTGGGGCCACATACGGATCCATATCAAGCCGGGCAAGCTGATGAGCTGCTACAAATGCCCGTTCGTCACGGAGTACAAGCATCACTTGGAGTACCATTTGCTGAACCACACCGGCGCAAAGCCGTACAAGTGCCCCACGTGCTCGTACACATGTGTGAACAAGTCGATGTTGAACAGCCACATGAAGTCGCACTCGAGCATCTACCAATACAGGTGCAAAGACTGCGAGTACGCCACGAAATATTGTCATACGTTGAAACAGCACCTGCGCAAGTATCGTCATCAGCCGGCGGCGGTGTTAAACGCGGATGGCACGCTGAGCCCAGTAGTGATCGACGTATACGGTACGAGGCGAGGACCTAAGCAGAGGCCGAAGAACAACAACAACAACAACAACAACAACAACAACAACAGCAACACTATCGACAACAACAAGTTATCGACGTCGACGGCAACGATGACGGCGATGGAAGAACCGAGCGGTGGCGCAAGCACCGTCACGCAGACGGTGGTCAACAACGGAGAGAACAGCAGCAGCAGCAGCAGCAATAGCAGCAATAGCAGCAACAGCAACAGCAATCATGCCCAGCAGTCATCGCAGGCTTTACCGTTGACGTCAACGCAGGCGTTGCCGTCGACGTCGACGGATTCTACGTCCGTGTCCACGCCGTTCACATTCGGCATATTTGCAGATATGTTCAACTCACGCAGGAAGGATTCCAACTTGACGGCCCAGAAGGACCATCAGGCTGAGCAGGAGACGGTTATTTATCCGTACCAATATCACCACCATTTCTTCAATACGTTGAACATAGCGACACAGCAACTGCTACCGAACGGCTTCGTCCTCGGTGATACGACGCAGACGACGTCGACGGCGGCGCCAAATGACGAAGTGGAACAGCAGGACACCGGAGACACGGCAGAGCAGACCGTCGCGAGGACTCCAGCAACGAGCGTCGCGGCGGCCGAGTTTTTCGAAGCCTCCACAGCCGAGCAGCTCAACAAATCCGGTAATGTGCCGTTGGACTTGACCTCAAGCTCGCTGAGGAACGAAGCCACCGGTAGCAACAACCAGCAATTGCAATGTCAGCAAGCGCCGCTGAACCTGGCGAGCTCGCCGAGAGTGGCCGGCACCAGAAGGCGCAAGGGCGTCGCAGTAAAGCTGGAGTATCGAGTGGTGGAGAAGGAGGAGGACACGGACGAAGAGCAGATACAGAACGAGAAGAAACTCTGCCAGTCGACCTCACCCACGGCCGCGTCAGCTCCGTCGACCTCGTTCCCGGCCGCGTCGGCTCCGTCGACTTCGCCCATGGCCGCGTCAACCCCGTCGACCTCGTTCATGGCCGCTTCAGGTCCGTCGACTACGCTCACAATCGCGTCGACTCAGCAGATCTCGTCTGTTCCGGAATGCGACGCTTCAGGTGCTGCGGAACCGAGCCAAAGGTGCGAGGACGCACTAACGCACAGCGAACCGTCCGCCGAACATGATCGTTATGTGTGCTTGTATTGCGATATACCGTATCCCGATCGAAAGATATACATCGCACATATGCGCTATCATGATGACACGGAGCCCTTCACGTGCGTTATGTGCGGTAAGTCTTACGGCAACAGGGCAAAGTTCAACTTGCACATCTACGAGAAGAAATGTGTCAACCACCGACAGTGCTGAGGTGCTCGCATCTGTGTGTTGTACACCTGAAGGCTGTGAGAGGACAAGTGGGAATGTATGTATGTGTGTATGTGTGTACAGGAAAGAATGAGAAAGCGATGGAGAATGAGAGAAAGAGAGAGAGAGAGAGAGAGAGAGGGGGAGAGAGAGAGAGAGAGGGAGAGAGAGAGAGAGAGAGAGAGAGAGAGAGAGAGAGAGAGAGAGAGAGAGAGAGAGAAAGCAAGAGAGAAAGCAAGAAAGAAAGAAGAAAGAATTCTTTCTATATCTTCTCGCTTCTTTCTCTCTCTTCCTCTCTCTCTCTCTCTCTCTCTCTCTCTCTCTCTCTCTCTCTCCCTCTCTCTCTCTGTTTCTAGGAGTGCATAGTACATGTCATGTACAAGTGCATAGTTATGTACAAAATAACAAACCAAAGACATTAATCAGCAACAAAGAGTTTCTTCATCGCAAAGCCCTAGTCAAAGATATGAATTTTGAGGAAGAAAAAGTGGATGAAGAACTGAAACTCGACTAACTGACAATCGACTAATCGACAAAACAAGGACGCCCAGGGAGTGCTTGAAGTTTGTTTGATTGGTCAGATAGTTAGTTACGGGGTGACAGACACTCGCTTAGCGCATCACCGGAATACAAACAAAAAATACATCCCGATTACGGAGGGAGGGAAAAGTGTTTTTGTATTCACTCTTCCGACGATTTTACTTACATCTTACTTTTGTCCGTTCTTTCCGAGGTATGATGTGACATTTTATTGATTTGTACTCCGTTGATCGCTCGTGCGAGCGATCCGTGTGTAAAAAAAAAAAATGCGTAAAGATAAGCGAAGATATGCGTTCTCCATGCCGTCAACATGTGTCTCTTGCTCGCGGGGATGATCACATCCTCGTTCCCGATTTGCGTGCAACATTAATCTCACGCGATGCGTTTGTTTTTTTCTTTTCTTTTTAGTTGCCTTTTCTTTTATGTTTCTTACTCTTTGCTTCCTTCGTCTCACTTTCCAGTTTTCTTTTCTTTTCTTTCCTTTTCTTTTCTTTTTCTTCGTCGCCTCGATGCATCTAATCTCAATTTCCTTTTGTTTTTGATTCTTTCGTAATCGACGCCGACGACACCGAAACGAATGTCTTAAAGAGTGGATATATAAACTCTTTGAATATCAACGGACCTCTCACCGAGAGAGTAAGATGCCTTTTATTTGGGACTACACTTTTACATCAAATAACACTTTCGTTGACGGTTTGACATGACGTATAGTTGGTGACGTATAAATAATATTTTTTATATTCGCGAGTCGGTGTTCTTTCGACGTCGAGCATGAGTCTCTTTTTTCCTTTTTTTTCGATGCTAATCAGAATGCAATCAGAGATGCGAACGTGAAGTATATAGAGAATATATGTATATTTTTTTTAGAGAGAAAGAGAGAGAGAGAGAAAGAGACAGAGGACGTTAGAGTTAGATAGAGATATTCTATATTTTTGTACATTGAGCGCACAAAGAGTATATAAAAACAAAGTATCTAATATATATATATATATATAAATATATATTTTTAATATATTGTTCTCTTCTCTGCGGCTCGCGACGTTGCATACAAATTTAGTAAGTTGTCTCATTTACAATAAAATTCCAAATCTTCGTTTTCGCCAATTCGATTCGACTTACTTTGTAAAAAAAATTTATTTGCCGATCTTATTTTTCATTATTCGATTTCTTCCCCACATAAGTATGCCTTTCAAAGATAGAGAAGTCCATTTAAATGAAGAAATTTGTATGCGACACTCGTCGTTTGAGAATCGTCCCTCTTTTTCGACAAAAAGAGAGAGAGAGAGAGGAAAGAGAAAGAGAGAGAGAGAGAGAGAGAGAGAGAGAGAGAGAGTCGCAGATAATTAAGTTTGACTAATAATCTTTATCTTTCTTTTCTTTTCAATAATTTTTATTACACACATACATGCGTCTCGGGCAACAAATAGTTTCTTTCGCAATTGTCGGACAATTATCGAATAAATGATCGATCGTTGATCCGTTCATCATACTCGTCGCTTCGATTCGACGCTCGATATTCAGATAGCGTCAAACTTGATTCAAACAGGCGTCTCGATCTGTCAGATCAGTCAATCGCGAAGATCCTCACGGTGAATTCGTCAGCGGACACTGGCGTATATTAATTGTATACATGAACGTTAATTGTAACGAAAAACATGCACAAGTGTGTCTTGCGCGTTGAATATGAAGCTGGGAATCCTCGGTATAAATCATTGGCATCCGACGCGCGATCGTTTATGCCGAGCATTCGTCGGCATCGGTATGCATGTACGAATTGAAATCGATCTGAGATTTATCAATAATAACAAAATCACTACTATTCTCAAACGAACACAGATATCTCTGAAATTAAATAAATGTATATTATCAAAAACAAAGTCTTGAGATTCCTTTAACTGTTCTCTTCCCTTTTAAGATTAAGAAAGAACATCAAGAAGATGCGATAAAATTAATTTAGCAATCAAGTTAATTTGAGTAAATTAAAATGGATATGTTTTTGAGCAAATAATAAGTAAATTAACTTAATAAAAGTTAATTTTACTTTACAGTAAATTTAGAGAGCTTCAAGATAATCTTATCCTATGAAAAAGTTGACCTGAAAAGTTAATTTTATCTCGGCTTGTTAGGCTAAATCTATTTTACAATCAGTTTTTAGATGTTTTGTTACATATAGAGGTATCTCCAAGTGATTGGCAGATAATAAGCAACGAACAACTGACAAATTCAGTTGGTGTTGGTTCTGGAAGACGAATGCATATTATCCTCGATATCTTTCAATCATACAGATATATATTTTGTTAAAAAAAATCATATTGCAATCACACCTGCCCGAGTATGGCACACAAAATGGTAACCGACGAGACTTTTGTGCCGGACCTGTTCAGTCCTATTTTCCAGAAGGACAGATTTACATTGAAAGAGGTTAGAGTCCCAAATCCTTCGGTCTCCTTTTAGCGAATTTTTAAATTTCAACTTTCCATTCAGAAAACAATCTTTCTCCATTTTTAATTTTAACTTTTCAGGCATTGGATCTGCAGGATGTCGACGACCAGATCCATTTAATGTCGACTTTCCTTCCCGACGAGATAATACGCGGAATCGTCTTGTCTGATAAGAGCTCACGGAGTTTCTACGTTGTTTTATTGTTGCTGAATATTTCAGGTCAGTCGAATGGCAATCGGGTGGGAATCCTAAAAGTATTTTGTCCTCAGGCTTCAAGGTTAATTTGAAATTCACCGAGAATACGAATAACCATAAAAATTGACTAAAAATTGGTCAATTTAATTGATCAGTTTAAGTTGATAAAGAATCATATTTGAAACTTCCACCCCTTGAATTTAAAAGTAATTAAAAATATTAAGATTACTTCAAGCTAATTCAAGATGTCATTTTCACGCAACAGGTTTCTCAGCATTGTTCACGAGATATATCCAGGATGAGAACACGGGGAGCCTGACGTTCACGACGATGTTAAACAATTACATCGGAGCGGTCGTACGCGAGATATATCGCAGCGAAGGAGACGTATTGAAGCTTTCCGGTGCGGAAATTGTGATAACGCGAGTCGGTGAACGAACGGCGAATATTCGCTTCGACATATGATCGTCTCGTCGTCGACCGCTCGTTCACCGACGCGCTCACCTTGGCAAATTTTTTGCGCGAATTCTTGCGAGACGGCTAAAAATTTGCAAAGTGCAGCGGGAGAGTTGCTGGCGGCGTGGAAGGTGCGCGAAGATCAATTCACGTTCGGCATCGTGCAAAATGTAGTTGAGTGTGGGATTCGTATTCGAGGCACGAATCACGATGGTCACATTCCTCAAGGTAAGATTTCACGAAAAATGCTGACTAATGCAAGGATTCATTTATAAACTTTCTTTTCCTCCTAGTTCTTACCTGGTTCTTTAATTGGTTCTTAAACTGTTAGTGTTATGTTGAAAAAATTTTTTTCATTTCCCTCAGAGTGAAATTTCAGTCGAAACGAAAGTGGACATTCACTCGAGACAGCAGTGAAAAATTTACGCAATTAACAGGAATTAATTTTGGCTAATAAGATAGCAAAAGTGCTGGGACTCGGAACTGCAAGAATAAATGTTTTCGTCTAATTGGTTAATTTTTCATTAGCACGAATTTATTCAGCCCTTTTTGGTATGAATTTATTTGAAGGGATACTTTTCGCAACGTTTCCTCGTCGGAAATACTTGCATATTGACCCAGAAGATTAAAAAAAGATTCTTAATCTAGAATAAGTAAAATAAAATATAAAGAGAAAAGTAAAAACGTAAAGAGAAAAAGAAAAGTAAATAGAAAAAAACAAAGTAACGCGTGAAGTGGACAAAATAGAGGAAAAATCTCGTTAATTTCGTATAAGAAGAATTTGCTACAAACCTCGACAACGAGGTTTGTAGCAAATTCTTAACCAATCAGACGAAAACATTTATTCTTGCAGTTCCGAGTCCCAGCACTTTTGCTATCTTATTAGCCAAAATTAATTCCTGTTAATTGCGTAAATTTTTCACTGCTGTCTCGAGTGAATGTCCACTTTCGTTTCGACTGAAATTTCACTCTGAGGGAAATGAAAAAAATTTTTTCAACATAACAATATTTCACTAACAATATTACGTCGCATATACATTCTTCACGCGAAGAAATCCTTCTTTCGCCAGCGAATATCGCCATTTCGGCTGGCGATGTGACGCTCTCCGTGATCGGCAACGACAAGGTCCGGGATTTCGTGATCCACGGTACGGCGATCGGCGACCTGAAGCACGTCAAAAAAATATCGCAGCCCAACGACATGGTGCTGTCATTCAGTGCTTGGCGGCATTGCACGCCGAGTCGATACGAGTACGTTGTCAAGGACGCCCGTAGCATCAAGGTACAAACTTTCAAAGTATATTTCGAGCCGTGAACTTTATCTTAACTGGAATAAACGCAATTATTATCTCTAGAACGCGTAACTTAGAAAAAAAAAGAAAAAAAGAGAAATATACTTCTAGATGAAGGTATACGTGATGAATATACCATATTTCGAGTTCTTGAAATAAGACGAGAACGTAGAGATTCGGTTGAGATACACGAGCCTGAAACACTTAGAAAAGATAAATAATCCCACTAAAATTGTAGTCGTTTTCAACGACTAGTACATTATTTTGTTCGGCTAGCAAAATAGTAGCAGTAGCAGCACGCATATAAGATAACCGTCTTTAATACAATACAGTAGACCTCATTACAAAAATAGTTTCCACTGACTATACTTATTTCACTCTGTTTGCAAATATATCTTAATTATATTTAAAAATTTTTTTTTTCCATATTTTATCTCATAATTTTTTATTTCCATTTTTATTCATAATTTTAATTTTTGATCTACTGAGCACAGTTTTGACTGTTCTGCAATTTTATTTTACTTCGTGTTTATTAAAAAGTTTTCCCATCATATAAAAAGATATTATTACATATCCACTATGTGTGTGTGTATATGTATATAGGGTGTTCCATTTTAAATGTCTCAAATATCTAAAAAAGTATTAAGCAAATAAAAAAATGTTTCAGACAAAAGTTGGTCAAAATAATTGGTAGAAAAAGGTGATATGATGAAAAATTGGGATTTCTATTTAAGAAAAGTAATGATCAGTGAATATCTCGAAAGTCGCATCTGTAAACAAAATGATATAGTTGTTTTATGTCCCCTTTGAAATTATACAATTTTGGCCTGAAACGTTTCTTAGTTCTTATCTTTTATATTTTTCGACATTTTTGCCTGGCTCATTTAAAATGGGACACTCTGTATATTCGTAGGTGCTAAATATTTTCCTTTCAGCGGTACCGGGTTATCGAGCTACAATTTTTCCAACAGGCAAAACATATCGTAGTTCACACTATTATAACTTACGTCAAACAGACTATAAATTTTTGGATATTTCTCGATTCTTTTTCGTCCGCCTTTTCTGTGACTGTGAATCTCCGGGCCATTGTCATGGGATTTCACGTTAACGCCCACGGAGACAAAGCCAGATTCCTTTCTAATTTTTTTCTTCGGGATATTTTTGTGATTCAACTTATATTTCTGCTTTTTTCACGATTCTTATATTCAGCTATTCGGTACATTTTTTTTAGCACAGTAAGTTCTAACTATGAATTTTGGAAACTGATTATGTATAAACCAAGGATCCAGACCGAAACAAAATTTCGGTCCGGTTAGGCATAATGGGATCTAGAACCATTTAAAATAACGGTTTTCCCGAAATTATTCTTTATATAAATATTTATTTTTGTAAATTACAATATTACAATATGTAATATATAAACGAATTTTCTTCACAAAAATATTTAAGCGGCGTCATTTTTTATCAATTTTAACCACCGTTAATCGTTTCGATTTGATGTACTTGTACTTGGTATTGCTTCCTCTGTTTTTGAGATTTTTGTGGTAACGTTGTAGCTATCTGTTTCCAGCGGCCGTTTTGCTTCTTTTATTTTCCTGAGATTGTAATCACAAAATATGAAATTATTTATTTTTATTTTATCCTTATAATTCATATAATAAAAAAGCGGCGCAATGCCGTTAACGATACTGACGACTGTCGGAGCCACGGTAACGGAATAGAGGCCCTGAACATAACTGTAATTGTAATACGTTGATCGCGGTGTGAATTTTCTAATAAATAATCGGCGGCAGCGACACACATAGGGTGTCGTAGAAACCAAAAAAGGACCGAAAACCCAAAATATTTTTATCGGTCCAGTATCGGTTTCGGTCTATTTAATATTATAACATTTCGGTACGGTTATGGTTACAGTTTGAGCATAAAAATCGGTTTCGAAATGGTTCTCGGTTCCGGTACCGGTCCGGTTTGGATCCCTGGTATAAACCAAACCATAGCAAGTTTGCAAAGTTGTAATGCCGCAGATTTGACTCACTAGTGATCACTATGAAATTTCTTTTTAAGAAGATGAGATCTTTGAGGAAGTCCTTTTCCTGAGGTTTATCTTAGGTTCCAAATGTTCAAAGGCTCTATATTACTTTACCATTTTTTATTAATTATACGCTGTAGATAATCATATTTTTCTTGCGACCCTGCTTAAATTTTCGTCGCTGCTGCCTTCCAGATTTCTTCATCCTCAGCGAGCATTTAGCTCTGAAGTGTTTCGTGTTCTCAAAAGACTGATATTTACAGATAATCAAAGTGCTGACGCGATCGGACGAAAGGCCAACACATACATCGAACGCTGAGTCCACCTCGATGTTCAACGCGAAGAGAAGACCCAGCATGCGTACAACGTTCACTTACGAAGACTTGTCCTCCGTGTCGACGGTCGCCGATAACAAGGAGGAAACTTCTGCTATAAGTAAGATTATTGCGATAATAGCCGATGACCACTCGCTGATCGAGAAGCAATAACACGAAGTCGCCTGTACAACGAAAGTTCTTCTCTTTTTCATCAGCGATCTCTACGATCTTGGCGGCAAATCCAAATTTCAGCGCGCTATTGAAGAGTTACTTGATGAAGTCAGTGATCCAGCAGGTGTCGACAGAGCACTATCGTAAGCGCTCTGTGCGCTTCTCTCCGTGATGATTTCGACTTTCATGCTCTCCCATCGTTTGTAGATCGAAAGGGGTCGGCCGTTGGATTTTCTGACGATGATCAGGCATGTCACTACGGTGTCCCTCGACATCGTTCCCGGTAAATATACGGACGACGAGTTGGTTCTCCTGGTCGACAAGTGCTTTTTACTTGTGCATAGGTATAATAATAATAACAATCGGTCACAATGATAATAAATAATAGTAAATAATAACGATTAAAATTATTTCATACAATAATTACGATATTTATATAAGTATTTATATATAAGTGTATATTTATATATAAATATTTATATGTAAGTATATATATATATATATATATATATAATCCAATAAATATTATCCAATAAATTATACAATAAAAATTTTTTAAGACAAATATAATACAGGGTATCTGTAAAGTTCGACCCCATCCCTGGATCTCGGAAGCGGCTTTAAATATGGAAAGATGTTTCAAACAAAAGTTGTAGAATATTGAGGGCGATACATGATAAAAATATGGACTTGACCTTGAGTGACTTTATCAAGGCCGGAGGCGTAAATCCGATCTTGCAATCTCCACGCGGTAATGCGAATGCCGGCGGTATGTCAACTTTGAAGCTTCATATCTTGGGAATTGCTTGCGTAAAAAATAAAAATAGATAGTGTTTTAAAACGTCTCGATAAGGGCTACAAGAATATATAATAAAAAGTAGGAGGTTTCCATTTAAGAAGCCATCGATCACATTGACCTGGCCTTGATCAAGTCACTCGAGGTCAAGTACATATTTTTATCATGTGTCCCCCTCAATATCCTACAACTTTTGTCTGAAACATTTCTTCATATTTAAAGCCGTTTCCGAGATCCAGGGGTGGAGTCGGACTTTACAGATACCCTGTATAATTGAAAAAATTGACAATTTTAAAACGAACGCTGAGGAAGAGATTGTAGAATGGCGGATATGCGTGCTGTTGCCTTTTTCAGAGAAACATATTAATGTTATATTATTCTTCTCGACAAGCAACTTCTCGAGAGCGAGCAACAATGCACCTCGATATTTATTTTGCAGTGTGATCGCGCAATACGCGGGCTACATCGACGCGGTAAATCCATACGAGAAGGGTGTCCTCTTCCGCATCGTGTTCGGGATATGCGAGCTCAACGGCGACGACCAAAGACGAGGGCTCGAGATTGACGAGTCTTGCAAGAACGGGGTTACTTGCGCGATGCAAATCCTGCAGATGGTGAAGAGTATCGCGCACATTTACAACGTGTCCGTCGGTGTCTCGACAGGTAGTCGGTGTACGACTGACGACGGGTTCTTCTTCTTCCTTTATTCTTACTCGGACGGTCGTGGGAGGAAAAGTTGTCCAGTGCTCCCCCCAACGCACCTCCGTCCTGCCCAATGAAAGAATTCGTTTCCTTATATGGGAATCTTCCCACTGAATAATTTCTCCTGTCCACCTCCGATCAGTCTGCCCATGAACGTGCATGAGTCTTCCTCATCGACGCGTACACGATTTCGGTGCGTTCAATTTTAGGGCTAGCCTACTGCGGCGTGATCGGAAACTCCATACGAAAGCATTACGTGGTCATCGGGCCATCCGTCGACAGAGCCGCGTGGATTATGAGTATTTCTTACGATAAGGTAATCGGCGGCTCGTTTCTTTCGAGCTGTCCTAACTTGACACGTTCGCTGTCTCTGACGGTCTCTCATTTGTGTGACACACGTTAGATGCTCGACACATTTTTGCAAGCGAGAACATGCATTGCATTATGTAAAGCCACTAAAAACACAAGCATCACAAGAAGATATTTTTCCCTCGACTTGAAAGACCCGCGATCAGTTTGAAGTGATTGATTTAAAAACAAACCCTTGTCCATGTCTACCTGGAGCTCATCTGAAGATCTACGCCGGCAGATCTCCTGCGATTACGACACCGTGCTGCACAGTCGTCTGAGGAAGGATCAGTTTCGCCCCCGAGGACTAAGGACACTGGGACCGTTGGAGAAGTGTCAGGTGTACGAGTACTTCGACGACGCGCCGTGAGTTTGAATCTTCATCTCTGCCTCTCGGACGGCGAAATAGAAGGAACGACTGTCGGAAAAAATTAATTTCACCTGTTGCGATGCTCGAGCAGAGCACGGAAGGACGACCTTGACGCGAACTCCACCGCGGAGTATTGCTACCCCATCTTGGGCAGGCAAGAAGAATTGGACAAATTCGACGACATCCTGGACGAGATCGGTGTGGCCGGGCGGAATTACTCGGGGTTGCTGATAGAGGTGACCGATCTTAGTCCTTCGAAGATCAAACGCGTACCACGAGATTCAATCGCCCGTTTGTTCCCTCGAGGGTGGCGAACGGTCCGGGAAATCGCGGCTGTTGGACGCCTTCGCCGTGAGCGTTCGTAACCGGCAAATACGACCGATCGAGCTCTCGCTTCACGTGACTTATGCGGAGAAGACTCACGCGGCGGTGCACCACGTTATCCTGCAGGTACAAAAGTGTCAGTCGTCGAAATGAGTCTTTCGAGTCCTTCCTTCGCAGATACTGGATGCCGAGAAGTGCGACACGATCGAGGAACGTCAAAAGGCGTTACTCGCCAAACTGGCGGGCGTTATCACCCCCGAAGATCTTTGTTACCTCAACGAGCTAATGAGAGTTCGCTTCCCTCTGTCGGACGCTTACTGTTCGGACTCTGATTGGCGACGTCACAAGAAGGTCGTTGGTATCTTCGAGGAAATACTGAAGCAGGTATTGAGTCCCCCGTGTCGATCTTAATTCAGAGTTTACTTCAGGGTTCTAATCCCAATGTCGCAAGTCTAGTTTCGCATTTGAATATTGATTTCAACTCAATTGTTTGCAGTTGAAGACCAAGATCTGCATCCTGCTCGACGACGTTCAGTACATGGACAACGCGTCGTGGCGCTTTTTGTCCTTGGCTCTCAACCATGACCACGTTGTGGTGGCGATGACGATGCTGTCGACAGATATTCGATACAGTGCGTGGACAGCTCACGCACAAATGATGATTCGTCGAGACAATAGGCTGATGAAGCGGACGCTGGACGGTCTGCATCCGAAACTGCTCCCTGTGCTCGCGTGCCAAATTTTGAACGTCCTCGCGATACCCGGAAAACTGAGCAGGTATTCTCTTTCGATTTTGAATCTCGAGGATTTTTTATAATGGACGGATTCTGTCGGAATATTGTTGGAAATTTATCTTCCTAGTGTCTCAATGAATACTGTGAACCTATTATTTTTATTATGTTTTTTATATATCATATATTTATTTATATTTGTATACAGATTTATTTATTTACTTATTTAACTAAATTATTTATATTAATATGTTATTTATATTACAAGACAACAAGATATTATAAATAATATATTAGTAATATTATATTACTAATATATTATTTACAATATCTTGTTGCCTTGTTCAATTTTTTCTTGATCATACACGGAGAATAAAGATTTGCTAATATATGGACAGCTAAAAATATCAGCTGCAAGAGTAAATTTGCTTGCTTTTATAGCAAAGGATTTAATTGTGATAGCTAAAAGATTTGCTAATATCATATATTAGCAAATTTTTTAGTTATCATAACTAAGTCCTTTGCTGTGAAAGCAAGCAAATTTGCTTTTGTAGCTGATATTTTTAGTTATCCATATATTAGCAAATCTTTCTTCCCGTGTACACTTAACAATTTTACTGATTTCCCTGATGTTAACCCCAAGTTCAAAAGCACGAAATTATCCTTACCGGGAGACAAATTTTTTCACTGGTCGTCCTTTGAGTGTCAGAAATACACTGACGCCGTTTTTCCGTACAGGATCTTACGGACATGCGCGGAAGGCCACATCGGATGGTGCGAAGCATACGTGACATTTCTCCTGCAGAACAACATGTTGGACTTCGTCAGAATATCGCCGAGCGAGGCGAGTCAACGTGACCTGGTGTTTCCGGATAGTCGCATGCTTATGAGACTGCCGGTCGACCTGACGCCGCAGGAGTTGCCGCCACCACCGACTTGGTCGCGAATGAGCTACTTGGACGTGTGCGACGTGAACAAGCGTTACTCAGACGAAATTTTCGAGATAGGCCATGATACGAGAGGCGAGTCTCGCGATAATCTCTTGTCTCTTGATCCGACACGTTGTTTTTATTTTTCATTAATATCCAATCGCTAATTATATGTCCTCGATAAAAAAAAGATTTAATACTGATCCGAGATCACGATGAAATAGACAACCTAATTCTTTAATTGAAGATGCTGGTGAAATAAATATGATTTTGAACGGATTGACGATCTGACATCAACAAAACAGCAAAGTACATTTAAAATAAAAAAGATATGAAGAAAAAAGAATAGAAATTACAGTAATATTACAAGAAAAATGTGAGAAATAAATCGAGGGAGCGAAGTTGCGAGTGAAAAGCTCACATCAACATCAAACGAGGCATCTTCTCGGTCCTCAGGATTAATAGGCGAGATCTACGGCAGGATGAGTCCGTTGGAACGAAATTTCATCGTGTGCGCTGCGATGTTGGGCACGGTGTTCAAACGAAACGTGTTGTTGAACGCGATTCCGGGTACGAATAACAGCGAGTATGATGCCATTAACGGTAAATATTTTTTGTCCTTAAATTGACGGCTGGCCTCGCATTTACGGGACGCTTATTTTTTATCAAATAAAATCCTTCGTCCAACGCGTAATTTCATTCGTGTATCTTCAACAATTAATTTCCAGTTACATCTGAGCTCTCGATAAAAATTAGTTTTATCTGCTGATCCGAGATCTTTGAGAAATCAACAGATTGATCTTTCAATTAAAAAGTGTCTGCAATATTATTATGGTTTCTGATGAGTTTTATCAATAATTAACACCGCGCGTATCATCCGCAGCCGTAATTCCGGAGATGTTCCGCATGAGGATATTGGAGTGCGCCTCGTTCCAACGACGGGACTTCCACTCCGAGGATCTCGTCCTCTGCATACTCAAGAAGCGAAGGACCTTCTCCGACATGCGCCACTCGGTGACTTGCAACTGTCGCTTATCGCGTCGTGAGTTGATATTTAATGACATGAATCTCTTGGTTTATCGCAACTGCCTGCGTACACATTAATCATTTCTGTCATCGTTTCGTTCAATTCATTAACAATCAATTAACCGTCACTCGATAGCGTGGCCAGGCTCTTCCTTTTTTATCGAATGAAATCATTCGATCAATACCTGGTATTTAATTAAAATTTTGTATTTTGGTACCTAATTTCGACAGCTATTTTTTTTAATATATTATATATTTTAATATTTTGTAATTTCTTTACAATGTATTTAAATTGTTTCAGATTTCTTTCTAATTTAATTTTTCTCCATTTAATGACTGATCTTTCGATATTCGAAAATTTTCGCGAAATAATTCTAGTCTGTAATTGGTCAAAGATCGCAAATGTCAGTATAGATGAACGCAACACGTCTATTTGCTCCATGATCTTTCGTCGATTCTCGCGATTTCTCCGTAATTTTCCTTTCTCAGATACTATCGTCGCTACACCTCCGCCCCTCGGTGCTTACTGCAAAACGTTGGAATTTAAAGTCGATCTATTTCGCAAGACGGTATACGACATGCAAACGGAGAAGGAAAAGCGGCAGCATCACGCGAGAGCTGTCGAGATTTACGGCCGAAACGCTCGAAAGTGCAACTCCTGCGGCGCTGGCGCTTTCCTGAGAGTTCCTGTTGAAGACACGTCCGCGAAGGTGAGGAGCGATTACCAAAGTTAATTGTTTAATGCCCCCTCGTTTTTTCCTTCCTGAAATCGATCTGATCTGACTTCTCGATTTATTTTCATTATTCAAATACACGTACGGACACGGAGAGTTTGTATTTTTATCACTAGAGAAATTTATCCGTTTCGTGCTTCTTGTATCATTTTCTCAGAGGCAAACTGGTACACATCTGAACGCGGCTGAAACATCATTAATAGGTCACAGACTGCTTTTCGCGGATCCACAAAAGAGGAGGAAGTTGCCTCTGCGCGGGACGAACTCGCTGTCATCGGCGAGAAGGCAAGAATTCACCGGCAACACTCGCAGAGTGTCAATCATGCCGACATATCTGGACGATGTCGAGGACGAAGGTGGCTGACTTTGAATTAAAAATAAATTCGGGCTTGGAATTGAAAATAAATTGAATTGATAGAACAAATTAAAATTTCGGCCGAATCTCCGTCGTTCGAAGTTCAAGCTGCTAATCAAGACAGTTTATCTTTACTCAGATATGTCCTCGATAAGAAGCGTGAGGATCAGAAAAAGCTTGATGAATAGATCGTCCAGATTCTGGAGACGCGTCTTCGCGAGCGTCGCGCCAGAAACGACGAGAGATCACGACCGGTCGGACTACTTAGACGCGTACAGTCACATAGATTACCGCAATTGTCGATGCGACGGCGTCATTAGTTGCCTCTTCTGGAGGTTGCACCAGCATATCGAGCATAGCGGTGAAACGATGACTTTGTTAAAAGAAACTATTCACTAGCGCAAGACTTCCAAAATTTTTCGATCAGGCAGAGTCGAGTATTTCTTTCTCTATTTACTCGGCTTTCTTCCTCAAAATCTGCAGTTTGACAAATCTCTTGTCGCTTCCAATCGTCGACGACCGCTAATTAACGAATCAAGGTAACGCGTAAATCGACGTAATAATTATCGACATTGAACTAATCTTCAGGCGAGGTCGACAAGATGGTCGATTTTCTTATGGAGTATAGCTCCGGGCTGATCCAAATCGCACAACCGTCTCACGCAATCAAGCTGCTCGCTATTGCTGCCGAAAAGAACGAGAAAGTTGTTGCAATAAGCGATGACGCGGAAGAGAGCATCATGAACAGGGGAATTATTCTAGCCTTAACAGGAAAGTATAAAATATTATCTTGTATACAGGGTGTTATAAAAGTCTCGGAAGAGCAGAATAACTCTAAAAATATGAGTCCTAGAAAAAATGCGAAGTACTGCGTTTTTATGGTATTTTCCTGGCTATCTGACGGTGACCTTGGAATTGACCTTGACAATGACCTTGAAGGTCATTTCAAGGTCAGGTCAATTTTTTTAAATGGGACCCCATACTTTTGACCCCAGAAGTGAAAAGAGCGAAAAATTTTACGTTTGGATGTGACCTTGAACACTGCCAAATTTGATCTCTGAAGTTCACATAAAGGTCTAAGCTTGTTTTAGGCTGAAAGCGCGAATATCTTCGAAAATGCACCTGCTAGGGAGCAATGTGACGCATATGAATAAGAATGTAGAAGTCAACGAGAGACATTCAGCCGTGACCTTGCCCTTATTCTCAAGGTCATGAGTTAAGATTATTATTAAGGTCAAACCGGACTTTTTTAGAACTGAAAATCCATACTTTTGATCTAAAAGTGTCAAGACTGAAAAATTTTACGTTCGGACATGACGTTTTCAACCTTGACCTGTCAAACGCACTGTCAAACGGTCAATGGGGAACATTTTGAACATCTCTTGTAATCTCAGGCCAAGTTACAAGATTCTTTGCCTTCGGTGGCCGGGATTAATTGAACTTTGCCTTCAGTGGTCGGGTTTGAGACACCCTGCCTTCAGTGGTCGGGTTTGAGACACCTTGTCTTCAGTGGTCGGGTTCCGAGACACTTTACTTTCAGTAGACTTCACGATCAGTGAAGTAACGTAAAACGCATAATTTTGAGAACAAAGTCAAGATTGAAAACGTCATATCCGAACGTAAAATTTTTCAATCTTGACACTTTTAGGTCAAAAGTATGGATTTTCAGTCCTAAAAAAGGTTTGACCTTAATAATAATCTTAACTCATGACCTTGAGAATAAGGGCAAGATCACGGCTGAATGTCCCTCGTTGACCTCTACATTCTTATTCTTATGCGTAACATTGCTCCCTAGCAGGTGCATTTTCGAAGATATTCGCGTTTTCAGCCTAAAACAAGTTTAGACCTTTATGTGAACTTCAGAGGTCAAATTTGGCAGTGTTTAAGGTCATATCCAAACGTAAAATTTTTCGCTCTTTTCACTTCTGGGGTCAAAAGTATGGGGTCCCATTTAAAAAAATTGACCTAATCTTGAAATGATCTTCAAGATCATTGTCAAGGTCAAATCCAAGGTCACCTTCAGATAGCCAGGAAAAAACCATAAAAACCCAGTACTTCGCATTTTTTCTAGGACTCATATTTTTTGAGTTATTTTGCTCTTCCGGGACTTTTATAACACCCTGTATATTACATCATATTTTACAATTCGATTTATGTACAGAGAGTGTCCAAAAAATTTCGGACCGGTAAAATATCTCGAAAACAAGACATTTCACAAAAAAACAAATATCTCATACAAGAGGTGTACGATTTCCAGGGAGACACAAATCAATTTGTTTACAGGTGGCGCCACTTTCGAGATATTCACTGATCATTACTTTTCTTAAATGAAAACTTCAATTTTTTTTTATTATATCATCTTTTTCTACCAATTAATTTGAACAATTCTCGTCTGAAACATTTTCTCATTTGCTTAATATTTTTTGAGATATTTAAAGAAAACTTGGTAACTTTTTTAATATTCAACTTACGATATCTCGCTGACCATTTGTCGAAAGAAAAAAATAGTACTTGACTTTTTTATTCTATTTGATCTCGAGAATATATTGTTACAATAGTGCTCTAACCGTCAATTTATTGACCCCTGACAATTTCAAAATCATCAAATTAACAAAAGTCTCCTGCTGGTATGCTAATTAATCCCTATCGCGCCCTTCAGGCGACGCCTACAGCGCCCTAGGAAACTATGATCAGGCCAAGAAGTATTACGCGGCGGTGGTGACTCTGCGAGGCGCACCGTTGAAAATTCACAAAGTCGTGTGCTTTGACCTGCTGATAAGTGTAAAAATTCATCGCAAGCGACACGCCCTTCCTCGCCGTGCAATCAACGAGAAATCGGCGCGACTAGCCGCGAAAAGGCTGGAACTGGCGTCTTATACGCGACGACTTTGCCTTGCGTTCGCGGTAAAGTATTGACTCAAACATTATTCAAAATTTCATTTGATGAAGTTCAAGTCGAGATCACAAGCAGAACACGAGGAGGGATTTTGTACCCACTGACAATACATGTGGATGATGATCGTCAACATTCGAACGTTGCAGAGAGAAGACAAGATGAAAGCGGCGAAGCTGTTCGCCTTACAAAGCTTCAAACTTAGTTACCCGAACTTCGACGGTTTTCTGGAGAAAGGCGAGATATACTTAGCGTTTGTTCGAATTTCCTGTCGCACTGGCGACATTAATTTAATTCGATGCATCGAGGCACCGATGTTGATTCTGATAGAGACAAAGCTCGGCTGGAACGACTCTGAGGAAATGGCGATGTTGGTCCGAATTTACTTCGCGATGTATCAAGTCAGGTAGAGTTTACGTTCAATGCTCGAGTTATGAATTTAGTTTCTGTAAAATTGCTCTTCGCAAAAATGCTAACGTCAGAGTCTCCTCGAAAGAGCAGAGCGTTGAGAGGCGAGTTGGAGGACGCCGTGGACATAGGTGTGAAAGTTTTGAGGATATCCGGAGTTCTGCATCTGAACGATCTTTCATTGGGCATTATGCCGTCGTTAATTGAAATAATGGTAATGATTACAGTCAATTCGCTCGAATCTTTCGCTCGCTCGTCGATGTGTCAAATCACGCGAGTAGATTTAAAATCATATAAATATTTCTATGGATTCTAATCCTCTTCTGCTAATTAGTCATCCTGTTTATTGTCGTTTCTATCTTATTTATACACCATTCTATTATTTTAATTCCTATTTATCGTTATACAGGGTCCGCTACTTAAATCCGGACATGAAAATGTTTTCTCGAAAAAGTCGTTTATTATAGTAAATATATATAAGGATACAAATAAATTATTTTAGGTTCAGGTCAGGATGCGACACCTACTGCTGCACTTTAATAAAGCGAGAATTTCAAATTGAAATTTGTCCGGATTTAAGTGGCGGACCCTGTATGTATTATTTAATCATTAGAAATCATTTTTAAGAAATCTCCCGAAAGATCTCTTCCTTCCGAAATTCTGCTTTGTGTCGTTCGGAATGTCGTGCGCATTGCCTATGATCGCATAATTCTCTCTCACTTTCCCCCGTAACTCCCTTATCGCGTAACTCGATCAGCTGTGGACCAAACACATCAATCAGGCCGTCGACCTGATGGCAGAGCTGTACTTCTTAGCGGACGAGGATGTGGATCTGTCCGCTAAGACGTGGTACTACGCTCTCTCCTTAGAACTTTTGCTCGACGCTAGCGTGCTTCTGGAGTCGTATGAGACGTCTCTCAAATATTACGAGAAGTTCGTAGGTAAAGAAAGCAAAAAAATAACACGACATTTAGCACAGAAGCACACACGCTGAACTTCGTCAATTAGTTACAAGTGTTCATGTAGCTTACAGATCCAAGTCTTGCGTGACGCGCGACCCACAGAGCAGCTGCCGTTTGTTGACGTGCCTGTGGATCTACCAACTCAGAATGCAAGTATCCGACGCTCAAATTTCATCTGAAAGTGAAAAGTTTCGATAATAATTCCGTAACAACAATATAACACAAGATGACTACGCAGGGGATACACGCTCACCAACACGACTGCGTACAGTGCGGACGCGTACGTGGAGAGTGTTGATCGCGACCATGATTTTTCTCGAATTTTTACGTGCTGCAAGGTAATACAACGATAATAATATGATTGTACAGGACGCCAGAGTGTGCAATTAGGTGATGATAAGGCAACTCGCACCTCTTATTTACACAGCGTTATTTCTCGTCAAACAGTTTTAGTAATTTTTTCCCTAGCGAGGATGACGAGGAAGTTCGTTATTATAGCGATTTTTAATTTTTAATATGACATATCTTTGAAACTCAGAGAACCTCAGAGAAAAGTTCCGTTTAAGTTGATAAAAAAAATAATTTGTTTATTCATCTGGTGGTCTCATTTTTTTCATTTCATACATCGGTCAATTACATTTTAATCGCAAGCCTCTGCAAGCGTGATTCTTCACAGGGTCTGGAATATTATCTGTTGATGTTACTGCGCTGCGTCAACGCGAAGCACTCTGACGAGCTGAACGATCGTGTTCAAGACGTTCGCAAGATTATCAAATGCCTCAACAAGGTCTCCGCCTACGCATTGGTGGTGAAACCGTGTTTATATTTGCTGACGGCATACCTGAACGTCATCCGGGGTCGCAAGTCGGCCGAGAGATTTTATCTGCGAAAAGCCCGGAAAGCCGCGAACGCGCAGGGAAACACGTTGATCGAGGCGTCGAGCATACAAAACGAAAGGGTAACATCGACCAAAACCCTTCAAAATGAATAAATACTAGTAAATCCTTTCGTTCGATTAATTGCTTCTTAAGATAAATTCAACTAGCAGCCGATACGTTCTTCATTGAGGCGAATAATTAAATTGAATGAGCCTTCAATTTGTGACTGATCCTATAAAACGACGGATGCGATTCTTTATCAGTAGTTTTTCAATCGGCGTTCAATCGTCCAAAATTTCTTATTGCAGACGTGGAGTGAGAAAGTCTACAATAATATGGCGCGCTACTGGTTGGAGTACGTAGAGTCGTTGGACTTCGTGCCGTGGCAGTATGTTTGCAACTTCAACGTCAACGTGTGGTCCACGATACTTTATTCCTTACCGATATCCAATACGTATTTGTAGCGAGCAGATTATATTCAACGTATATAATTCCTTTTATTCAAGACAGCAAAAGTGCCGTTCCAAACTCGTGTCACATGTGTGTATTTTTAACACATATAATTGATATATTTATGTTCAATTATTGTTGATGCTACGATAGTTTCTCGATCGCGACAAAAGCCACATAGAAAACTAACCTTGATAAATAATATTAAATGATACTAACAATTTGATATCAAGCATCTTCGAAATGATCGAGAGAGGTATAATATTTAATTAGAGATTTAATTTAGATCAATGTAATATATATTCTCTCGAAGTAGCTTGTGAAATCTCCCGAACGAAGGAACGAGAGAGGAAAGAGGTGGACGTGCGTCGTAGCGAAATATTTATTTATTATAAAGTCATATTACATAATTTTTTACGTTCTAGAAGGTAAACACGACGATCCCCTCGTGCGCATGATACTTCGTCAAGGCGAGATTTCCTCGGTTCTTACCCTTTCCCCTTTTCTGTTGCCTTTTTCTGCTTTTTTGTCTTCACAAAGAGACAAATGAGACCTCCGCGCATCGTGAATCTCGATCGCGAGAGCCGTCACGAGTTTCTTTAAATTACGAAATGATGATGGTCTCCAGCGACTGACGCTTAGTTACTTACGTATCCCGACGATTAATTATTAACGCGTTGCGATTTAATTAATTGCTCTATTTGGCCGAATTCGGCCGAGTACGCCAAGGATGTCCGCGAATTCGACAGAGAGAACGAGAGAAGAGAGTCGAAGAAGGAAAAGAGGAAGAGAGGAGGAGAAAAAGTAAAGCGGAAAGCGGAAGAAGTGAAGAGAAAAATGTTGAAAACAAATGGAGAAAGAAACGAGGGGTGGAGAAAAGGGAGAAGGAAATGGAAGAAATAGAGGAAGGAAAGAAATGGAGAAGAAAACGTAAGGTTCTTCAGTGTTCTTCGTGCGATCTTCATTTTTCCGCGACTCGAATTAACTCGACGCGCCCAGCGCGTCCCCGATGTCGATATCGACGCTTGTGCCAAGCGAGAAATAAAGAAGAAATCTGAAACAAGGAGCGAGAAAGATTGCCGACGAGTGGACGACGCGTTTCGGAGGCCGGTCGGCACGACTCCTCCCTGCGATTCGTCCCCGTCCTCGTTTCCGGAAGATCGAGGAATCGTCGGCGACTCTGTCTCCGAGCCCACGAACTCCGAAATACTCCGGTCGGTCGGGCGCACGCGAGAGACAGTTTTCTCATCGCGCGAAACACTACTCGTTGCATCGGCGTACTCGGCCCGCGAGTGCGTCCGTCCGCGAGGACGCGCGTGTACAGCACTCGAGGTTGTTCAATCAAACGGAAGAGAGTGTCTCCCGTCGCGCGCGCGGCAGCGGCGGCGGCGGCCGCAAGCCCGAATAACGCGGACAAATCCGCGAGAAGTCCGAAGATCGAGAGAGAGAGAGAGAGAGAGAGAGAGAGAGAAAGAGACAGGAGAGAGAGAGAGGGAAAGAAAGAAAGAAAGAGAAATTAAATTCAATTAAATTGCATTAAACTTAAGCGAAGTAACTTATTCCTAATTTCTAGTTAAATTTAATTATATAAAATTTAATAAAGAGTTTATTCTTTCTTCCGCCCTCCCTCAGCCCTTTCTCTCGCTCTTCGTCCTCAGAGAGAGAGAGAGAGAGAGAGAGAGAGAGAGAGAGAGAGAGAGAGAGAGAGAGAGAGAGAGAGAGAGAGAGAGAGAGAGAGAGAGAGAGAGAGAGAGAGAGAGAGAGAGAGAGAGAGAGTACGAACGTTCAAGAAAACGTCTCGAAGACGTCTAGAAATAGTAGGACGTCTTTTAGATGTCCTCGAGACGTCTTTTTGAAGCTCGTGCCGTCTGGGATCGCGGCGCGTCCGGCGGTGGGACATTCGCGTTATTCGGGTTTGCCTCTCTTCCCGATCGCAACGAAAACTGCGCTTTCCGTCTGTACAACTCATTCGTGCGCGTCGACCTCGTTGTCGATGCGACTGCTACGTATACCGGTCTTGCCTGTCCATGGGTAGATATCTGGGCATGCCTGGCAGGTCTTCATGTACCTCACGCCGCTCTTGTGCCAGAGGTTGCAGACCTTCGGGTTGTTGCATTTCTTCGGTCGGTCCTGCGTCGGATTACTCATTAGGAAAAAGGGCTGCGGGGCTAGCATATCAAAACCCTTCCCTGACACGAGGAACAGAATCGGACAGAATCGCCGCCACTTAAAGCCGTAGCCGTAAAGTTATCAGCCGATGTTTCCTAGCAAATCTTTTCTTCTTGCGAATGAGTTTCTACGTCGACTCGATATAAAAATGATAACAAGTATCCAAATATTAAGGGAATAAAATGATAGAGCAGTACAATAGAATGATAAAAAGAATAATAATCAGAAATGAGAAGTATTTTAGCAATAACAATTTCGCGATTGGGTGATTTTGGGTTCACGTTGGAATCCGTATTGGGAGAATTATTGGCGGCGACGGTACGCGACGTTCCTCGAGGGAGGAGTTCCCTAAGAAGCGACGTTACGATCCGGGTTCTTACCGGATAATGGCATCCGAAGGGTTCGAATGTGTGAAGAAGCGCCAGAGGCGTCGGATTCCTAATCCACTGGATGGCCTGCCAATTCGTAACTACCCACACGTCGTCCATGGCGACGATGGTGTCGAGGAACGATATGAAACCTTCCTTGTGATGCGGCTGGGTGAACCATGCAGCGTGGTAGAAAAGACCGAATGGCGCCCTGTGTTCGCGACGAACGCGAGAACGACGTGCGAATTAATGCTAAGACTTCGTGAGACGAGAGGCGTGTTTCGCGCCTCATTCTTATCGGATCGTCATTCTTAGCGGCCCGAGTGATTGTCCCTTCGAGACAATCGTGAGAGCGAGGAACGGTTAGACGTTTATTTAATTCAATGATCGTAATCCAATTCAAGGTTAATTGGCTTTGCTAACTATAATAATAAAGTAACGCGATTTAATTTAATTCCATTTTTACTTCGATCTATTTGATTTACTTTGATTTCAATTAATTACTGATTAATTACTGAATTACTACCAGATTTACTTTGATTTCAATTAATCACTGAAGATTTGATTACTGAGATCTCAAGAAAAAAATACTTGCGCGTTTACTCGCTACTTCGAAGGGGCGGCTTTTATTCTCTCTTCTTCGCTTCGTCTTGCAATATATCTTATCTTATTCGAGTTTCAGAATTGTTGACGTTACTGCGCTTTGCAAACATGAATGAAGGAAGTCCTCTCGGGGACTTGGCGTGGAAACGCGCGTGCGCGATTCTCCCCGGGAGATTCGTTCGATTCGCGAGTCAACAATCGCGGCTCACCACACAACGCAATGCGATCTGTCGCTTTCCACTAACCTGTTGGTCGTGTAATGCCGCTCAAAGTTCTTAATGAGCATCTTGTACACGCCGTCCGGTGTCGGTGGATTGCTGCAGGCATCTCCCATCGAGCATCTACCGCCGTTGAGATCTTGCCACATTACCATAGGAACTTCCCACAATCCCGGATAGGATCTCGTGGGACAGGGCGGTATCATGCAGTCGTGGAAGAGCTTGTAATCCAGCGTATACGGCCAGCTGGGCGGCCGGTTCTCATAGATCGGCATAGAGGAGTCGTACGTGAAGTTCGTGTCCCAGAGCATCTTGAACATGTTGTTGCCGCCGACCTGCGGTCGCCATCTCGTATGTAGAACGTCGGACGCGGATCGCGAGGAACCTCGCATTTATTTGTATGACCGCGAATCGAAACTGTAGTTTCATGTTAAGCCGCAACAAATTCGCCGAGTTTATCGACCCTCAAAAAATCAACCAACGGAGGATCTCGGGTATACTTTTAGGGTGGTCCAAGTCCACGGCCCGTGAAATTCGAACTGGTAATTGACTTTTTGACTAATCCCACCATCGAATTGAAACTTGGTATCTATCGTGAGTGCCTTGCGAGTGTCAGTACGTGTCTTTGATGAAAGCCAATTTGAACGCGTCAGGATCTTGTTAGCCTTAATCGCACGCCGAATGTAAATTTCAATCAACGAAATTGTCAAAATTTGCGAATGAAAACTGGTGATAGCCAGAAAGCGTCGGGAAAAAGAAAGTCGTTTGGACTCACCGATAAGAAGGGAGCCCTCATCCCTCTGACATCCTCCAGCTTGACGCCTCCGTAAGCCGACAGGATCTCACGCTGCCCAGCGACCTCTCGCGCCCACTTTCGCGCCGAGAACTGTTCGCCGAAACTGTGTCTGTCGTAATGGATTTCTCGTCGATCATTTCGAATTATGAGGAATTAATGAGGAATGCCTTCGCATTCGCCGACCCGAACTCGAGGTGGCCGACGACGACGACGTCCGATGACTTCTTTTCTTTCTTTTCTGATTGTGTAATCGCCAGTCAACGCAGGTATAAGCGTGACTTTTGCAAAATGACGAGACACCGAGAGCCATCGAAGGAAGACACTCTTGCGATTTCGTGAAAGCAAAGTCTGCCTTTGCAGGCTCTAAGTCGATATTATTTATTGCTCGACTCGAGAGATTTGTCTTACTCATTTTTGGGAAACTTGGCGAGCTGGCTCTCGTCGTCTCTTCTTTCGTTTTCGAATTTTTGCCCGACGAGTTCCATCGTGACAATTTCTCCCATCCCGTTCGGTAAAATCATCAAAAATAACGTGTAGAAATTGCAGAGGGAAACATGAAATTGCACGATGACAAATAATAAACCTATTACAGTATAATAAAATAGAAATCTCAGCAAGAAATTTCCCGAACGCGCCATCGCGTCACCTCAATTGTTCGACGTTGCGCGACGAAAGCGAAAGCGTAAGCGGATCGATCGGTCGATCGATCGATCGACCGACCGATCCGATTACACCGTGCCACTTGTTAACTCCCTCGTGAACGAGACGAGCTCAGAATTAACGGCGTTAATTCCAACACCAAGCGGCCCACGTTAGAGCGTAGGCAGGCGATAACCGCTTTTCGGTTATCTGACGAGCGTGATTAATCGTCCGACTCGTTTCTCTGTGACATCGAAGATGCATCGATGAGGCAAATGATTGCGTCGAGAGCAAGCGTGATTGATACAGATTGATACAGAGGTCGCATGTGCATACGAATGAAAATGGAAGAGCACGATTCATCCGGGATGCTCGGTTCTCTCTCGCGTTGCTCGCTTTGTAGTTCGCCGTCACTCGTTTTATCTCACTCGTTTGTAATTGTAATTGTAATCGCGAGAGATTTTGCACAGCGGACTCTCTCCGAAAGGATGTCGCTGCCTCGCGGATAAATTGAAATCAAAGCCGGATCTGGTGGACACGAATTCTGACATAAGTTCTGAGAAAGAAGTTGAAGTCAGCATTGAATACGAAATTTGATTTTTATCTTCCGCGATTGATAAGATAGTTCGAGCCAAGCCCGAAGGGCTTGATCTTTTAGCAATTTTTCAGATCTTGTGTCGTGTACGATACAATTCGCGTTTATCGGCCGTCAGATTTTCAGACTCGTCTCACGGCGACGATCCTCCGACGAGCTTCTTCTTCTTTTGCGGGACTACTTACGAGACCGTGTGGGAGGCAATCTCGTGGCCGGAGGCATAGAGATTTTGCACCTGGCTATAGTCGGTCCATTCGTGGGACACGTAGAAGGTGGCCCCGATGGGACAGCCGTTCGGGTTCTTTCGTCCCTTCTCGAACAGATCGGCGTACAGGCCCTTGTTCAGGTCGTTCACGGAATCGTCGAAAGTCAGGAGTACGATTTGCGGTATTTCCTCCGGCAAGTAGTCACCTGTTCGTTTCAGGATCGCGATTCGGAGTGTGATTCAAGAGGCGTAGGATGGCGTAGGCGGGTTGAAGGTGAGCCGGGGAGGGGGAGGGCGATAAAGAGAGAGAAAGAAGGAAGCGCGCGCTCGTACGAGAGAGATTGTCGTCGAAGTGTGTGTGCGTATCGAATTTGTTTGTTTCGTTTCATTTTCATTCGTTTGTTTGTTGTTTTTTTTTTGTTCGCACGTACCGGTGTGTGATAGCGTATTTGAAAGTTTTTTTTTTTTTTTTTTTTTTTAGTTTAACGAGCGTTTTTTTGTGTACACGGGAGTATCGGTGCGAATCAGCGGCCGATGTGTGACGAAGTGCGATACATTAAAGTTGGCGCGTGATGGGAATGAGGAGCCGTGTGATGTGATGATGAAAAGAGCGTGAAAAAGAGGCAGAGAGAGAGAGAGAGAGAGAGAGAGAGAGAGAGACAAAGAAAGAATAGAAAAGAGTTAGTATCACGTGTCATTAGTATACGACTCGGGTGTCGTATACGCACTTGGTGAAACCGCGTGTTTCACGACTATGTTTCGCGGCTATCGGAGCGGGCGATCCCTTCGGCGCGAGATCGCCGATCTCTCGCTCGCGCGGTTTCACCGCCGGTGAGTACGGCAATTTACATTTTTTTTTCTCTTCATTCGCGCCGCCCACGCGACGGATCCTCTAATTGCACGATGCCTTCACGTTGTCTTCGCGAAGGAAACGAGCGCACGAGGTGGCGGTCGACTTACGTGCCTTGACCCTGCGCGAACTGACTTTCCGGTTCTACATCAACCTCGCGAATTCCGTCCGAACCTGAAGGACCAGCGTAGACGATTTTGCTTTCACGCTACGAATCTTCACTCGCTACTGTCGTCTTCTCCGCGGCGAATTTCACGACGAACCATGGCTATCGGACTAAATTTCGACGCGAATGTATATATTTTTATCGCATTTTACGTGACGCATCTCAACTTTGATCTTTCTAAAGCTTTCTAAAGTTTTCTTTCAGAAAACTGCACGTATAATCGCACTGGATGGCCGGTAACCGACAGGAGCAGAACCAACGCGGAAACGATAGACGTAGAAACGTAGAAATTGATACAAAAATGTAAATGTAAATATCAATCCGAAATTGGAAAATATAAATGACGGGAATAAACGAACATAAGTCACACGGTAGAAATCCTTTCAGTCGAGAGGCTGCGATGTCGACCGACACCTCGAGGACTCGACCATTCTCGAAGATTCTCGCGCGCCGCAGGTTCCATCGTGGACGCGTCGTGTTTCTCGATCGACGTTTTTCGCGGCGCGTTCTCTCCTGCGACGAGAAGACGCGCAACGATTAAGTGGGCGAAACAATGAAAACGGTAAAAGATCGAACGTTGAAAATCGGACACACGCACGCAGCCAAATGGAGCAAGAGAATGAAAGAGACAGACTGAGAGAGAGAGAGAGAGAGAGAGAGAGAGAGAGAGAGAGAGAGAGAGAGAGAGAGAGAGAGAGAGAGAAAGAGAGAGGTAGGAAGAAACGCGATGAATGCAGAAACGTGTACGCGAGTCTCGTGACGTCTCGGTGAAAACAGCGCGTTCTATGACGATGGCGATGACGATCTCCGGTGATGCGCTTAAAAAAGGTGAGCAACCGCGAGCAACCGACTTACGAGACTGTGTGCGACGCCATTTCATGGCCGCCCGCGTAGAGATTTTGCACCTGGCTATAGTCCGTCCACTCGTGCGAGACGTAAAACGTCGCCGAGATCGGGCAGCCGTTCGGATTTTTACGGCCGTTTTCGAACAGATCGCCGTACAGCGGCCTGTTAAGGTCGTTCACGGCGTCGTCGAACGTGAGCAGAACGATCTGCGGCGTCTGCTCGATCGGAATACCACCTGCGTGCGTGTCATCACAATTTCATCATCGCGACGGATAAGATCGGTCGACACTCGACGCGACTTTTAAGACTAATTCGTTATGTCAACCTATACAAGAAGAGGGATTCACCGGGCGTCATTCCGCCGGCGAATCGCCGACGTTGGAAAATCAGAAGACGTAGGCCGTTTCTCTCCGAGAATTCTCTCTCCCTCTCTCTCTCTCTCTCTCTCTCTCTTTTTGTCCACGAAGCGAGGGAAAGATGACGATTTCCCGAGACGCAATGAGACCCGGGATGACCGATCGATCATTCTCGCGGGAGCGTTTTCCGCGAGCGCGAATTTCGCTTTCGATTTCGAAGGGCGACGCACGCGCGCGCGCGTACGTCGGGCGTGGATATTTCACTTTCGAGCGTGCCGCGTACAGCGGCGACCTGCCGGTGTATATGTAACGTTAGAGAATCGGAGAAAGTCCTCCGACGGCGTCGAGAGACGCCGTCTAAACCGCTCGTCAAACTTAACATTCGCGACGCGAGGCGGCTCGCATGGCGAGTGTCTCCTCGCTGCTCGACATCGGTCTGGCTGCTCTCGAACGACGAGCGATTCGCGCTCGTCTCATTTCGATCATGCCCGATTTAATCGATCCGTAGCCTCCTCGCGGCCGGTCGTCCTCGTGCCGATCGACGCAGGAGGAGAGCAGACGCGTGCAGAATTCGACGACTTTCCAACGAGATATCTGCTTTCCAGGACGCACGGGCGTCCCACTTCCTCGTTTGCGTCCAGCTGGCGAGCGTTCCGAGCTTCCGGCACGCGGGATGCGCGACCGGCTTTTCCGCTTGGCGTTTTCTAGCCCGCGACACGCCGTTTCCGGTCCACTTGAGCCAACAGCCGATCGACGGTCTCCGGCTTGCGATTATGAAAGACAAATCGTCATCGGACGGAGTCGCGCGACGACCTCTGCCGATAATCGTCTCGCGGTGAGGTAACTTGGAACGTGCGGGTTTGTCCTTCGGGCAACTCGAAGAGAAACGGCGTAGGAGACGAGAGAGAGAGAGAGAGAGAGAGAGAGAGAGAGAGAGAGAGAGAGATCGGTTGAATTTCTATCAGCCGATCACTACAAATTTAATCCGTAAAATTAATTTTAGCGAATTTAGTCTCTAGCCAATAAGAGCCGCTCAAGGATGTCGGTAACGAATAATTTTTCCTGGCCGCGGTGGACCGACGCGTCGAGAGAGGAAAAAAGAGAAAGGGAAGGAGAGACAGAGACTCTCGTCGCGGGAATAATTATTGACACTTGATAAATAACGAAGATTTACCTGGAATGTCGGAGCCGCCGCAGCTGCAATCCGGAAGCAGGCAGACGTCCTTGCGACATTTCGCCGCGGGCTTGTCCACCTGCGGTGTCGGGTAGATCGGCCCTGGTCTCACCGGCGGATACCTGTAGATATCGACGAACTCCTGCGCCTTCGAGACTATCTCGGTGGACGGCTTCAACGTGGGCCGGGATCGCCTGCAGGCGTCGAGAGCAAGAGAACTTTCGTTAAACAGGAATTTTTCGAATCTAATTCGCCTCGAGTCGGATCCGATCGCGATAACTCTCGTCGCGCGTTAAATTGATTCACCACATTAGCGAATAACTGCTGTCTCTACCGGCGGTTCTACCGTCACCGAAAATTTCAGCCGCGAAAATGATAAATGTCTGTTGTTTTAGTCTCTTGCTTAATTCTTTGTGCAATTCGTTCGTCATATTTATTTTCATTTCTCGTTGTCGTAATCTTCTGTGCTCGTGACTCTTTCTGTATTCGTCCTTTCTTTTGTGTGAACAAAAGGTGCTTCTCCGTTCAGAAATATTATTATGATTGATAAATAATAAGTCGCGCGCAATGTTCGAAGATTTCGCGACCGGTCCTACAATGCGCGATTTTTCGCACGCGACGACGATGTTTAGCGCTGACTGATTCACGAACGGTGCTACATCGTCCGAGTCACGCCTTGTCGAAGAAAGTGAATTGACAATGAACTTACGGCGGCGCTGTGCCCCGATGGATCTGCTGCGGTCGACTTCGGCTGAAAAAGAAAGCAAACGCATGAGGAACAGGTGGAGGAGGAAGAAGTGCAAGAAGATAAGAGAAGAGAGGCAGAAAATTGGAGCGGGTGATAAGATCCGAGGATTTCCGGCGGCGTGAATAAGGAAAATGCTCGTTTATTACAGCGTATGCAGCGGAGAAAGCGCGTATAGCGAGCGAGCGAAGGACTTCGTTTTGCCGACGCCGGGCGAAATCGGATCTCGACCGGCGGAAATCGGCGCAGGATCGTCCCCTTCGCGTTTCGCGCCACGTGCAAAAATTCGTATTCGCGCGTCGCGTTGTTTGCGAAAGAAATGCACGAATTTCATCCGCCACGAGACATTTAAAGAGAGAAAGAAAGAGAGGCGTTGAAACGCGATCGAAAATTCTCGAAGATCGATCGCTTATCGATTTATTTTGATAGCCTCGACTTATTCTTATTCATATTATTGATTTTATTTATTAGCCCTTCTCCTTTCCGCGTACGTCTATTAAATTTACCATTTTTCAATTCTTTTCCTATCGGTCTGCGATTTATTTATTATGCAAATATGCGAAGTTATTTTATTATGCAAATTAAAGGATTATTCCCGTTAATAAAGATTATTGCAAAATCCCTTCGTACACACACATGCGCAGGCGCTCTCTCGATTTCTATATATTTATATACAATACAAAGGACTCATTTTCTCCCTCTGTTTACATTTATTCGACTTTGGCGCGCGCACTTGAGGACGTAAATACAAATAATCTAATACATGGACACGTATATATACAAAGAGCGGATCATAACAGTCTCAGACGCCGAGACGGACACACCGGAACGCGCCGCGTCCTGTTCCGGACTTTTCCGCGCCGATCGCCATATCGCGTGGCGAATTCGAGACAATCAACGCGGTAATTAACGCGGACCGCGGTCGCGATCGTTATCACGCGAGCGAATAGTGACAAGTTCTGAGATCTGACACAAGTAATTATCGCGTTCCGTTTTTATTTTGCTTAAACACAAAAGAGAAACGTTGCGGCCGAGTCACGTGTTCCTTGATTTCTCCGCCGTTGTATAACTAATTAATACTTAGTTAAATTTGTTTTCTATTTCTAATTTGACAAACTTGACGCGACACCACGTGCTTTCGGAGTATATTGCGGAAGACGCGCTGCTCTGGGGAATGCTGCACCGGAGGATCCGGTTCGGGCTGAGCAGGGTCTGCTCCAAGGTAAGATTCACAAGTTTAATGACGCATAATTATAAATTTTACCGAACTATAAATCTCCTAAATTGAGCTAGCTTTGGAATTATGTAATTAATTAATATTAATTTTAATATTTTCTGTATCTGATCTGACAGAGCTGCTGCGACCATGTGCTTCCGAAGGATGTTTCAGAAGACGAGGTATCCTGCGGGATGTTGCACCGGAGGATCCGGTTCGGGCCAAGCTGGGTCGGCTCGAAGGTAAGATTCACAAGTTTCGATGTATAATTACAAATTTTACAAAACTATAAATTCTTTCGTCTATGAAAGCCATTACACATTTTATAAAACTGTAAATTCTTTTGTCTATGGCTGGAAATAAACGTATCGATCTAATCAGCAAAAAATGGCATCTTTCTGTTCCAGAAATGAAAGCAGAACGCGGCCGGCTCTGAATCGGCGGTTGGTGAGTGAAAAATTGGGTATTGAGAGGTGAAGGTGAAATTTTCAGAAGTAAACATTCTGAGAATCAATACGATTTATTTTGCTCGTAGAACTTTAGTATCTGTATATGTGTCATTCAACAGAAAACACATTAATCTAGCATATGTCTAAAGTATCGGATATATTTTTTTTCAAAATATAGCAACTTTTAAAATTCTAAGGATTATTGAGTTTTATTCAATGCGCTCGTCCAGTTGCCTCGAGCGGTGTATCAAAGCGCATCGAAATTGCGCCATCGCGCAGAGAATGTGCGCGATCACATCTCCCGAAATTAATAGATCCGCCGTCGGTCGTTAATTTTCTCAATTTTCTCTCTCACATGTACTTACGTCGCGATTGCGTTTCGTAAAATACAGAGACTGTGCCTTGTTATTAGATGAAATTCGATATCGCACGGAAAACAAGTTTCATCGGTGAAACAACGCGAGGCGATCTGATATGACGATTTTACCAGTCCGATAATTATATAAATTGTTCGCGAAATCATTCGCAAGCGTGACGATTTCGCGATCGCTGGAATTTGTAGTTTTTAATTTTTCACACAGATTTTCCGGACGTGAGAGAGTACATAATACTAACGAACGTTGACCGTTTACGAAAAAACACGATGTTTACAAGTCGAGAGTGCGAGAGTAAAGTTTTTCGTTTGATTACGTGTCGCGGCGAGTTCCGTTGAAGAAACGGCCATTTCCAGCGGAAGAGATTTACATTCCTTTCACGCGAGCGTTGAACAGATCTTTTTTTTGTCGTCGTGATTTCTGTAGTTTGCGGCTTTTCATTGGCGTTTGCGATTATGCATTTCGAGAGATTGCGAATTTTGCAAAATCGAATTCGCGGATGCGCCGAGAGCTAACTTGCCAAAAATATAGCGAAGTAGATGTTTTTTTTTATTTATCGCGACTTCTAATTATCGGCTTTTACATTCACGCCTGTGATTATATGTTTTAAGAACGAATTTACGGAATTTGCGGAATTAAATTCGTGGAAACATCGAACTTCGCAAAAATATTGCGGAGTGGTCTTCGCAAAAATATTGCGGAATGGTCTTCGCAAAAATATTGCGGAGTGGACTTCGCAAAAATATTGCGGAGTGGTCTTCGCAAAAATATTACAGAGTGGACTTCGCAAAAATATTGCGGAGCTATTGTCACACGATGTATTATTATGTGACAATATTACATCGTCCTATCGCAACGTCATATCAATATCCTGTGCGCCGTGCGTGAGAATCTCACGCTGCTCGCGATTATTTCGCCCACGCGTCGATGGATTTCGCGATCGGCCTTCGATTCGCGTCGCGTTCACCTCGCTCGCGGATTTCAATTGTGCGATTCTCATTATCGGTTTCTTTTACGCGCGATTCGCGCCGCGAATGTGAGTGCAAGTGTGTCAAAGTGACATTCTAATTGGTTACGAGCGAACTCAACTGGACTCGTACGTACCCGTCGTTCGTTCCGAAATTTAAAATCCTCTCGAAATACTGTGACACTGGACTCGCGATTTTTTCTATTCGCGACTCGAAAACGAAGTATGCTCCCAAATTCCGAAACGGGAGTCACCGCGTCTTTTCGTTGAATCATGAAACGTCGGTTGATTGATCACGGTCGGGAGTGCAATCAACGTGGGGCGACACGCGCCATTGGACAGATGCAGCGACGGGGTAGTTGGACATATAAGGCTGGACGCCATCAATTTTTGAAGTTTCTCACTCGGGAAGACTTTTCCTCGTCGGATCATTTTCTCTCCTTACAGCAAAAATTTATATCTTTCGCTAATGAATTCAAGTAATGTATACATATATTTCTATTTCTATTTTTACGTCTCTATTGTTTGTTGCCTCGATTGTTTATGATGACTTTTTATCTATGATATACAATTGTTTGATATTTTGACACATATGACAATTATTTTTTATCTATGATATATATTGATATTTCATGCTGATGAATTGAATTAATATGTTTTAATTTATGTATTATATTTTTTTATGTGTTTTACTTATGCATATTTATATATGTTTTAAATTGTCCGATGAATCAAGTCAAATTAAATATTTCAATGACCGCTATCAAAGTTGAATTAGAATCGGGGTTCTTAACGTAAAAATATCGAAGTCGCGGTAACCCGAGAACTAGAGCGATCTCCGTATTTTCTCGTATCTGACTATTCGATGTTGATTAAGCTCCGGATTACGCGTACCAAAGTGACGTACGATATTTGGGGGGGGGGGATAATCTGTATATATACACAGTACGTAAATTAATTCAAATGCATATTTATCACACCACTCAAGCCCCGCTTGACAAGAGCGGATGGGTAAAGGTGAAGGATGAAAAATCAAAGCTAAGCGATCGATTAAGTACCTTGGTGCGTTGACGGTGTAAGGTCTGCTGCTCGTGCTGGGGGTTTGCGTGCTCGTAGTCAACGGTATAAAAGTGTCGACGATGACGTTCGGCGTCGTCACGTGAACCACGGGATGGCTAAGCACGTTTGTCCTGCGTTGCAAAGAGAGGCCCGGTTAAAGACACGACTTCGTGTTGCGCAACCGCGAGAAGCACAACCCTTTCCCTCGCGGCGCGACTGTAATCGTCGATGTAATCGCCGATGTAACCGCGCCAATCCACGCTGTGATTGCGAACCGGTGGGACGAGTCTCGAGTGAGCTTGAAGCGTGTATTTTTAATGATGATCGAAAGATTAACGACAACGGCGACTTGCGCGAGCGTCGACGGTTTTAGACGACGCGCGAGTCGCGATTTAATGAAAGCGCGCGCGCGCGCGTGTCCTGGTAACGAAGACGAAGCGTTGCAACGAAGTAACGGGGAGAGAAGATCGAGATGAGAACGCGTTAAAGATGAGGACAAAAGAATGGAGCGAAGAGAAGACAAGAGCGTTTCGTATCTTGCTCGAGGAGCTTCGAAGGCAGCGATACGAGTGCGCGTGCAACGCGAGAGTACAAGCGAGGAGAATCTCGCGTTAGAATCTCATTATAGTATCAAAAGCGTATCGAATGTGTACTCGTGAGTTAACATCCGAATTACTGCGTCTGGGGATTCAAAGGAGAAAGTTGCCTTCTCAACGCCGGCGTTGCGCGCGCGCGCTCTTCGAAGCGATACAACGCACGCGGCTAAAGTAACTCGCGCCGGCTAATTAAGTTTTCATTTTCCGCCGGGAGAAATATTCGCTGTCCGCTATATAAAAGATAGGATAACGCAGTAAAAAGTCCACAGTGTCGGAGCTCGTCGATCGCGAGTGCGAGCGGCGAAGTCGCTCTCCGCCGGGAAAGTTCGCGCGCGCGCGAACCCGAGACTCGCCGTATTCCTCAGAGCGACGGGTTAACCGAATCACCAGCCGATATCACACTGATAGCATCCCCGCGTGAAGCCGCGCAATCGCGTGAATCGACGAAGCGGTGAACGACAACGTTGCGGCGACCAAGCGTATGATGCAGCGCTATCGCGTATCGTAAATGCGCAGCATGCTCCGAGAAAGCCTTCAACATTCGCCGGGCCGAGACTCACCCCAGTTTTCCCGATCGTTCTGGATGTTGTAACATACAATATACGTATGATTATAATACGATATGATTGTAACGTACAATTATATAATATAATATGATAAGTTGACGATTACGATACGATGAGTATACGATAATGTTACATAATATTATACGTCAAGCTGAGAAGATGATCAGCTAGGAGATTAGGATTAGCCAAATAATCAACAATCATAATGTACACACGCATATCCACGTAGGATGCGTACGATGAAAAGGACCAGCAGCGAATCTTGGTCTGATGATGAATGTTGAGGCTTTAGCGAAGCTGCACGTGCAATTCGAAACGATCGAAAACGATCGGCGCTACACAGACCGACAGAGCGCGATTGGAAACGGTTCTTCTCGCATGTGGCACGTTTCGTGGAACGAACTCACTGGGCGAAACGAAAAAGTGAGCAATCGCCTCGCGATCACTCGCACGCAGTGACAACGAAGGACTATAAAACGAGACCCGAGCGTGCATTCGGGGGCCGGGGGGCTGAATCGCGGGGCGATCAATTAATCGAGGCGATTTCCTTACCTGTACTGCTGACCGTCAGTAATGCGGAACTTGTTCTTGTTGAGCTGCGCCTGAAACGCAAAAGCGGAGAAACCATTCGTGACTGTTGACGCGAAATGTCCTTTCCAATAAGCGAATTGGCGATTATCATCGCAACCTCGGCGAGACCGCCTAGCGTTCTCCACAGCTTAGCGTTCTCCACAGACACGCGCGAGGCTGAAGTTTCGGGTTTCGATTTGAGGTTCGCGGACGATCGAACGCGTTGATATAACTCCCTCCTCCAGGGGAAATTCCCCATCTTCATTCCCCGACGTTTTCGTCTCGAAGGGAGCGACCGTTTATCGTTGATCAACGTCGCATTCGCGTACGGAAAGAAAAACACGATCGGCTGAATTAACATGAGAACGAACGAGCCGATCGTATTTTCGATTGAAGGAGGAAGCAAAATTTCCTTGGAGCCGAATTTTGACCCGGAAATTCAGCGACTCGACTCGAGGAACCGAAGGTTCTATTTCCTTCAACCGAACCGAAATATTTTCATCAACCTGGCTTGTTCGTTTCGGTTCGATGCGAACAAACTTCTTCCTCGTGCGAAAATCTCCGAGCCCTAAAGTTCCCCAATCCCGCGATTTCGTGGGACTAACCTAACCTAACCTAACCAAACCGACCAAAATACCATTTCCTGAACCAATAATTTCTTATCGAAATCCTCTCGTGTGCGTACGTAGGACCTCCCTACGATTCCAAAAATGCAAAAGAAAAAAATTTTTTTTTGAAGAAAAGAAATTCTTAAAAATCTTCAAAAATCTTTGGTTTTTATGTCGATAGTTCGTTTGCTCCGAGAATGCATCCGCTCACCTGATTCTCGTAGATATCATAGTCCTGCACGTCCTGATTGAGATTATACTTGTCCGCCTCGTTGACCGCGACTTTTTTCGGCTTCTGGTACTGTTTCGTGTTTACCTCGCTGATCTTCACGTTCGGCTGTTGCACCGGCACTGTCTGGTTCACCGTGTACTGATTGTAATCTGCTGCCGCGGGCGCGGTATATGAAATAAAAAAGAAAACGGACGGGAGGGAAATCGTTGAAGAAGAACGTTAACGCGCGGGCGAGATCGGCAACGCGGTCGAAAACGAGCGCTCGGGAGTGCTCGGTAGTCGGATTTGAACGCCTACCGTCGTCCTTGTAAATGGAGACGTCGTCGTCGTAGATGGTGTAATACGGATAACTCTGATCCGGGTCGCTGTAGTAAGCCTTGGATAGGACCGGTGCCACGGTCGAAGCCAGGGTTTTCGCGAGCCTTGGCGACTCCGACGTTGGAACGGGCGTTCTGAAAAACGTTGGGACGTTTCGCGCTCGGTTATTACGCGAGATCAGCGCCAAGTGAACACAACAATGCGTAGACAAATTCCCCGAAACGTCTCGCTTCGCCTTAGCAAAGCACGAGCGATCTTTGCTCGTTAGTGCTTATCCAGCGTGTGATATTTATTTACTTATTAATTTGAGCAAGCGATATTTATTCAGCAGATTATTTCGATATGAGGAGATATTTGATGATTGAAAATATTAAAATTGAAATGGGACTGCTATCGAAGTTGTTATATATTGTTGTCTGCGAAACTGTTCATTGTTGTTAGAAGTTAATATATTATATATATATATATATATATACATATATATATTATATGATAGAAATTAATATATTAATATATTTCGTAATAAAGAGTTCCAATTTATTATTCGCCTTGCTAGCGCGATGGAAAGTGTGACTTCGTTACCAACCTGTAATGAGTCTCGGCCTGGACGCGTGCGCTTACCAGGCTATCCTTCTCTCTCTCCTGAAACACACGCAATCTCGGCTTAATCTATCTCGGTTATCCAGTGCCCCGGTATCTTCGGATGCATCGCTGATGACCGATAAAATTTGTCGCGGCGATTAAACCGGTACTCGCGACGCAACTTTCTATCCCGCTGAACTGTCGATGCATCCTAATGTCGCTTGCGCGATTCGATCGCGCGCGTTTGCTATCACGACGAACGTCGCGTTATCGGCGAAACTCTCTCTTCTCCCGTCTTTTTTTTATACAAAGACACAACTGCATGTTGTTGGACATTAGGCTTGAATTATATCGCGCTTTGTATCGAGTGTCTCAGATCATATTATTTACTCATTTGTCTATAATATTATTTATTAATTTATCTATTCGTCCGTTTATATATCCATTTGTTCGTGCAGCAGTCACTTCTTACTCCGATCCTCCACACTTAATTCTTTTTATTATATAACTTGGTGGTTCTTAAGTATCCATATTTATGTAACGTACATTTTGATCTCGTGGATCTTTGTAATAACACATTTTTTCCCCACCAATGCATTTATTAAATTTTTAAACTATCGACCCAAGAAATAGTCCAATAATTTTTATTCATTCTCAATTCGAATGGTCGTCGGCGAGCGATGATTGGACGATTAAACGCGCGATCTGACGCGAAGCGATGCGACTTTGTTCGACGCGAAAGCTTCGGGTCGACACTCACCGATATTATGTTCCGTCGCAAACCGTCACGATCGCGCTGCACCTGACCGATCGTCGACGGCTGTCCACGGTACACCCGTTGCTGCCGATCGCTCTCGACCTCCGAGGCGGGCCCGTACTCGTCCTCGTGGTAATTCGTTCGCGAGTGCTGCCGCTGACGTAGTTGCCTCTCGGTGATCTGCGAGACCGGCGGCGACGTACTCGTGATCGTGATCGGCCTTTGGATCGGTCGTTGCTGTTGTTGTTGCTGCTGTTGGTCGCGTAGCAGTTGCTGCGATTGTCGTTGGTGCTGCTGCGGCGGCTGTTGCTGCTGCTCCTGCAGCGTGTCGAGCTTCGTGGACCTGCGATGAAAACAGTTCGGTTTTCTTTCTTTTCTCTGAGTCGCCGATTCGATCGGTCCGATCTCATAGAACTCAAGTGTTCCTCAAAATCGTAGACGCAGGAAGTTAAAGATCGCTTCGGGCGCAATCTCTGTCTGCGCGTCTAATGGGAAATAATATAAATATAGATGTTATCTCTTAATGAATTTTTATTAACGATTGACCATTAGTTTGCTAAATCATGGGTGCACACTTATTTAATTAATTTTTACTTTAACACAAAAGTATCAAATTGGGTATATTTTCTTTCCAAGAAATCGTCAAATATTGGAGTTTTTTTTCTTTTACAATAATTATCACTTTTATTCATTATTGTTAAAGTAATTTTTTCAAAGTGGTCGGATACTCGGGACTTGTCCGGCCATTGAGACGTTTACCTTAATCCTTCCCGCACGTTCAGCGCTCACATACGATCGTTCGATTCCGAGAGCTTTGGCGCGCGGGACGCGCTTTTACTTGTTCGATTTGAATTCACGTGAAGTCATATCGAAGGAATTCAAATTGTACGGAGCTTATTTGTACGAAATTTGTATCAAGCTCGGTCCTGTTAAATTAATTCAAAATAAATTCAATTAACAATAACGCGACGCACACATGTGCGATTCGTCCTCACTCAGGACTCAGGACGGGAGGTGGCGTTTAGCGGCGAACGCGCGGCTGGCATTGAATTTTATACAGCTGTCGGATGCAGCTACGAGTTACGAGTCGAACAACATTCGGAGTCGCGACGCACGAATGTCTCGATAAATCTGTCGCGCGCATATCGGCCACGACCACGCGTGGCCGCCAGTTGGCTGCGTCTCGCGGAAGCTCTCCTTCGAAGTGACAAGGACACCCAGAACGGAATTCGGGACGGAGAGCGAATAGTCGAGAAACTCTTTCCTCGATTGCTCGCGCGCGTACAATACATTAATGAATACCCGGCGGCTGCGCGCGTTGGCCAACTTTGAGCTTATATAACGGGACCCGCTCGGTTGTCGCTCCAGCTGTCGACCAGGCCCACTCTCGTCGTACAAATTCGTCGTGCATTTTTCTTCCTCTTCTCTTTCCCCCCTTCTTTCCTCCTTTCGCTCGTACGCGTAATGAGAAAGAGAAACGAACTGAATCTAGCGCGTGTGTGCAACGCGCGCACACGTGGCGCGGGCGCTCGGCCGGTTCGTTTTGCTTCCCTCGTGCATTTATATTTTCTGCCCTTCTTCCCCTCTTTTTTTCTTTTTCTCCTTCCGGCACGCGAGAGGATGAAACGTGTTAAATTCGCCGACGATTGCGTACATTGCGATCTCCGTTGAAACTTCGTCGTGTCGGTACGTTTGCGGCGGTTTCATCACGTCGCGTCGGCGCGAAAGCGTCGTCGCACCTTGCTGAGAAAGCTTGAAAGCACAAAATTATCGCGCTTCAGAGTTCACCGATAATTTTCGCCGATTAATTTCTCTCTTTTCGAACGCGTAACGCTGCGTTGATATTTCATTTGAGTCGGTATGCAAATTCAGCTTTTTGTCAATTTCTCCCTTTTCCGCGTCGATGGGTGGACAAAGCAGTCGGATCGTTAAATATTTTTTTTCGAATTTGGAGTTACAAGGTGCGCGTGCGACTTGTATCTTCTCTCACACGTTGGGCGTCATCTAGAATCGCGCGTAGGATAGACGCTTCTTCTTCAATTCAATGACAGCCGAGAAAACACGATCGCGCGAGTCGTTCTATCGAAACTAATGGCTTTCCTCCGCGCGTGCCCCGCGCGCCGCCGACCGAACCGTCCCACCACCGTCTTAATCGAGAATAGCGCTCGCGCGCGTTATTTCTCTTTCTCTTCACTCTCACTCTCGCCTTTTTCTCCCCACTTCAGCACGCCGCGAACGTGGGTGAAGCTCGAGCGTGAGCGTGAGCGGCCATTGTTTTGCAATAGTGAAGTCGAAAACGAATAGTGCGGAATGCGCCACCGAACAAGTCAGCGTGGCTAATTTTGCAAAATCATCCACTAACCGGTCCGGAAATCGACCGACCGTCCGTTCTAATTCCTTCTCTCGTGCATCAGCATTGGCTGCTCCCACCGACTTCTGTCCTTTGTTTTGTATCGCAGGTTGTCGATCTAAGTCCTTCGATCTAGGTTCTCTCTCTTCGTGGGATTTTTATTTTTTAATTAACACAATGACTGCCGCGGGCGTTGCCGATGAATCGGCGCCTTTCTTTCCACCGCCGCTACAAGGGCGATCGCCGGTGAGCAGGCAGGTACACATCGAGCTATTTAAGCCAAATTATCACAATAAATCGCATCTGAATAAAATTTGCTAATTATTGCTATTTGTTGCTTCCAAAAGTAATTTTTTTCCTGCCATTAGAAAATTACGAATTGAAAGTAACAAATGGCATAATATTAGCATATTATTTTCATACGTAATTTATTGTTTTCTGATAACCTGGCTTGGATAGCTGAATACATCTCTGGTGAACCGCCTGTGAGAGGCGAATCCTCACGCTAACTGACGATACAATTTAATTTGTTTATTATGATAACTGATAATTGCTGCTTTTTTACAATTGACAAGGAAAAAATTTTCCCCTGTATTTATTAAAGCAATAATAAATAATTATATGATATCGTACGATATTTAGCATATTTGATAATTACCTACGTTGTGTCGTATGCTACACACACAATAAAAATTTCATCGTGACGCATAGCCGGTGAAACACAATAGAAAACTTATTGAGCAGAGTCAACGATGTTAATCGCCTCAACTTTTCTCTCGCGATAGAAACGATTTCTCATCGCGAGACATATTTTTGTACGACCTACTTATGCGCGATATTGAGCGCGGATGGGTACCACCGCGCGGATTAGAGATTACAATTTGAGAACGTCGCTTGCGATAGCCCATGACGAAACGCCGGGGCATCGAACTCACCTCTCCAGCAGGGGATCCTCTTCGACCTCCTTGTCGGGCGAGCCACCTTCCGGACAGCCTACATTTCGCGGCCAGTCGCACGTCTGCAGATCGTGACTGAAAGAAAGCGCAGACGTTTCGAATTATTACTTCCTGTCCGACGCCGATCGTTTTCGCAATCGTTTTCTAGCTATTTCTAGCGCGACGGATTTTCGCGTGTTCACGAGCGCGTCGATTAAAGTCGCATTTGCGCGATTAAAGCGCCGGGAGAGACGCGCGTCGTTGTTTCCGATTTCGCTCGTTTTACGACATCGCGCGACTCGCGCGCGTTTTTCCGCTCGGCTTTTTCCCTCCCCCCCCCGGCTGGTTATTACACAAGCGCGAATCGTCGTCGTACGCGGTTTTTCTTCCGCCGTCTAACCGCGCCGATTGACAGCTCGCTGTGAAACGGCATGCCGCAACAGCACAATGGGATTGGGATATTAATTAATTACTCAATTAAGAAATACATTAAGAAAGGAGGGAGCAGGGAAGTGAAAAATGTGGGGACAGAGGGGAAGAGAAGGAGGGAGAGAAAATAACGGAGGAACGGAGAAAGGAACGGAGAAACGCGAGACGGAGAGTGCGATACGGTACGGTAAAGATCACTGTAATTTTCGGCTGATTAATTGTTATTTTTTTCTCTCGCTACTGTAATACAATCCGTCGTTCGTCCCGACGTGAGGAACTTGTCGGACGCGCGACGTTACGCTCGTAATTAAGAGGTAAAACGTTGTACACGCTCTCGTAACGGCGATTGATGCAACCATGTGGCTTCAGAGTAGCGCGTGTCTTTCCCGAGGCTTTCCCGGGCTCAGAAAGAGAGAGAAGAGAGAGAGAGAGAGAGAGAGAGAGAGAGAGAGAGAGAGAGAGAGAGAGAGAGAGAGAGAGAGAGAGAGAGAGAGAGAGAGAAAAAGAGAGAAAGAGACACCCGTCCGTCATCGCGAGCGTTCGCATTTGGCGAACGTCGGTGTCGTTCCAGAAGCCGTTTCGATCCTTTAACCGTACTTGGCTATATCGCGTCACCATTAAGTACTTCGGACCGCGGTGAGCACGTTCGCGGCATACGTTCCTATCCTATCGTATCCTATCGTATCGGGCGAGGTGTGGCCGATCGATTTTTTCCTTCAGGGTTATGCGTGCACACATACGACCCCCTTTTACCGCGCGGATCCAGACGGTGGACGACTGAAAGTAAAGTCCCAGGATCGTACGTATTTATCGGCCGATCTTGCCGGAGCATCGAGAGACACGCAGGGAATTCATACGAATAGTGCGCGGCCGCCGAAACGCGCTTGACCGCTTGCTTTTATTGGCTCAATCGATATCGAGGGTGTTATATATATATATATATATATGTAAGACGATATTTTTGCGCGATTGTAATCGCGCACTGGCTCTTGCCGGCGGCCATTGATTTCGAAGTGAATCGCCGTTGTCGCTGCAATCTGATTCCAATTCGAACTTTAACTGCGATATTGATCTTCATTCCCGGCTACAATTCTAATTTACTTTCTGTCATTTTTCCTTCCTTCCTATTCTGTTATTATTTCTCCTTTCGTTTAGTTTCTTTGATTGCTTTTCCTATAACATACCATCGCGTACCAAAGAGGTACCAAAGAAAATTGTTATGTATCACGATAATTAATTTCGAGCGCGCAAGTTAGACTCAACAGTACGTTTTATTTGACCCGACGAAACGGGAATTTATCTCACACCCACAAAGACAGATCCTTGTGCTTTCTTTAAGCGTCTCGACCGATACGGGTATCTATCAGACAGACAAGCCAATTATGGTACTTTTTTCAATTAACGAATGCCAATCTCTTTTCGGAAAAATTCCCGCCGCGCGCCGTTCGACAGCCGGCGGTGCTCGAAAAACGCAGGGTATACCTTCGACCGAAGGCGCATTGCCCGCTCACATCGCGTCGGGACTTTGTATTTAGCGCGCGATTCTCCCCGAGGCGGAGCTCGTTCCGAGCGAGGGATTTATTATCGCGACTCGATTTGTCGACGGTTTTCAGTGAGCGAGCGAGCGAGCGAGCGCGTTCGCGTTCGCGTTTTCGACGTTCACCCGGGAAACGAGTCGAGGAAACCATCAGTTTCGGCGTATCGGCGATCGCGATCCGACCGATTTTCGCGAATGTATACGAACGAGCATACGAACGAACAATGAAATCTCCTTGTGCCAGTTTTTACGTCATAACGTAATTATAATCGTAATATAACTGTCATAATAATTATTGCAATAACTTATGACGCAAGTATCAATCACGGCGAGTCTCTCCTTTTTATTCGACTTCATAACTTTCTTCGTAATCTTACGGAAAATTTGAAACTAGTATAAACCTGGTTTAATAATAAATAAAATAGAATGAATTTAAAACTGGTATAAATATGCAGCTTTCTCAGGATATTAATTAAATTACCGCATAATTATTGCATATTAATTAAATTACCGTTCCGATTTGTAACTTGCGCTCTCTTTGTGGCTGATTTATTCTCGGTTCTCGGAAATTTGTTTGTATGATACTCTAACAATCGAATAATGAAATTAAAATGCGTCGATGAAAATCCTCAGTGTCTGCGCTCTCGGAAGAAAAGGAGTTCCCTTTGGCGGCAGAGGGAGAACCTGGCCTGGCCATCACTCTGAATCTTCGGATCCGCTCGAGATCGCGAATTCGCGGGAAAGTGCGATGTGTTTCGTCGGCGCGATACGATTTCTGCACGCGTTCCTCGCGGAAATCTCTCACGAATTTCATAACACCGGCTCTGGGAACGCGCGATGGCTCGCCTCCGCCGCCGTTTCATTCGGTTCGCCCGTCTACTTCTGCTCAACAATACTCGTCGCGGTTCTTGCTCTTATTAGCATTATTCACTTAATTTCCTAAGCGAAACTGTTCGACGTTAATCCGTGTCCATATTAGTCGATCAGTCAGCACAGAGGCAGAACCGCGCGTTTCCACGTTTCCATTCCTTCTCTCTATTTCTTGCAGCACTAAATGCTCACCTGTCGCCGCGCGACGATAATCGCGAGCGGCCGTCGACCTCGCGTAATTAAGCGCTCGTTTGCAGAAACCCCGAGCTGTAACGAGCGGAGGAATTCCTCTCTCGCTGGCCATCATCCTACGCGTTATCGCGAATCTGATCGCGGAACCGAGAGGGATCTCGATCGCGCGGCGCATCGCGGACTCGCGAAACGCGCGCATGACAGATGATTTTGGAGAGAGACGGTTCGCCGAAACGACAAAAAATAATTATCATTTAATCATCATCGGGGTTATGCTTAAAGATAAATAAAAGAATAGTAGAGAAGGGAAAAGAAAGAAACAACAACAAAGAAAGAGAGAGAGAGAGAGAGAGAAGGGAAGAAGGTGTATTATCGAAGATTTTCATTTTCAAGTGGAAATTAGGAAGTCAGATTGCAGTTACATTTGAAATTATTACGATTTAACTGGTTAATTTTTCTCCCGAGAGGATCTCACGCGAGACGCGCGAAATCTTTGCGTCATCTTCACTTGGACTCTCACGCTCGACAATTTCAAGTCGGAACCCTCTGAATCTGGCGTCGACGCCAATTTTCGAGTGAGTCATTAAGCGTCATTCGTAAACGATAAGTTATTATCGAAAGATTGCGAGCCGTCGCGTTGAGTCAATGACCTCTTGATCCTTACCTGTACATAAGGCCTCCCGTGCAGGACTCGAGCAGAGCGCCGCCGAAAACGCACACATAGTACTGCGTGCAATCGCGCGGGTGAGGATAATATCCGAATTCGTCAGGACACTCGAATTCCAAGGCCGCCTCGTTCCTGCTAGCGCGGGCGCTCCTCGGGGTGTTTCGTTGGCATCCTGCAACACGACGCGCGTTTACGCGGAAGTTTAGTTCCAGTTTCATTCATCAACGAGGTGTCGCTCAACAGGGGAACATAGGGAACGCAGAAATTCAAAGAATTTGAGGAGAGCGGAGGAGGTTTCAAAAATTTTACAGTTTTGTAACATCTGAATACATAGTTGCAAAGAGTATGAGAAATACACTACAACTTTTATATAAACCATTTTTGCATATGCCTCGTATTTTGAAAGATATATTAAAAAATGAATATGCTAAAAATGAAAATGGTTTTTTTTTCCGAAGAATAGTTTCACCTTCTCAAGGTGGAATTTCGCACAAACAAAAAATAGTTTTGTATTACGGATAAACTACTTTACTTTCGCACAAAGTTTCAGAAATTTTTGAATTTCCGCGTTCCCTACGTTTCCTTGTAAGCCGCGTGACTGCTGATTACTATGATTTCTTATCAATACTACACTGAGAAAAAATTGTATTAAAATTAAACAAATATTTGTTCGAATAAGACTGTGAATACATTTATTCAACTTAAGCGATTAATTTCTAAAATGAAATGAACAGAGGTTTCTTGAATGTAAACTTTTTTCTTGAATTTGAGAAAATAATTGCTTAATTTAAATAAATGTATTCACAGTCGTCAATCCAAACAAATATTTGTTTAATTTTAATACAATTTTTTCTCAGTGTATATATACTTCATTACTATGTATAAAAGTTATTATAATATCGCACGATTGTTCAGCTATAATTCTGTGACAATTCTATCACGTATTCATCCGATGATCATTTCCGTTATCATAAATTATTATCGACTCATCGTTACTTCTCTCTTGGCAAGTTCAGCCCACTTCAGCCGCGCGAATCGCGATCAAATTAGAATCGCCCGGCCAGACCTCGCGCCTCGCAAATCTCCCGCACCGCGTGCGTTTCCCCGCGATTACGCGAATGCATACCTCGAAGCGGGCGTGTGTCTGATCCTATCGAAGCTCGTGCAGTTCCCCGCACGGACCGACTATCCGATCCTAGATCTCCGCGGGGTTGCGAAATCAATTTTTATTTTACGCGGCCTCCGTTGCGAAACGGTAGAACAAAGAGACTCCGCGAATCGGGCGAAGCGCGGATTAACAGACTCCGCGTGCGGCTACGTAAAATTGATAACGACCGTTGCACGCGGAGGCTGACAATCCTCGCGATTGGATTACGCGCGCGCGAAATCCGAAGCCCGAACGCGTTACGAGCGAGTCTGCTATATTCTCTCTCTCTCTCTCTCTCTCTCTCTCTCTCTCTCTCTCTCTCTCTCTCTCTCTCTCTCTCTCGGAGAAAAAGGCGATGAGCGTGCGATATAACGTCAGAAAAGCTCCCGGAATAATCCGTTAAACAGCGAATGAATTGCTGTTACATAAATTCACTCCGTTATTATCGCTACTGGTCGATCGGGAGACCCGACCGTTATTAACGAGTCGTACTTTAATCTTATCTTATCTCAAAGATTTCGCCCTCGCTTAAGTGTCCGATTTACATCGTTGCAGCGCGATCGCTGGCGAAAATGTTGCAATTGACTTCCCCGGGGGTATCTGGCCCTTGCTCTGTACATAAATTCGAATCGGGATCAGAGAGTGAGATGTCGCGTTACACACACCCGAGTCGACGATTTTATCAGCGAACGCAAATTGATCGATCGCGCGGACAAAGCGTGTGCCCGCGCCGGAGTGATTCGTTGATTTCGCAAACGAGCGCCTCGAGTGCGCCAGGAGTGCTCTTGTAGCTCAGCTCGGAGGCGCGTACGCGATCGCTCGTCGTATATCATCGCTCACGACATGTCGCGTTCGCACGTTTCAACGACGGAACGAGCACGCGGTAAATGTAGCAGCAGCGGCGGCGGCTGCTGCACTGCGGCGAATTGCGCAACGGAAAAGTAACCGGATTTTTGGTCGACCTTGCGCTCACACGTCCGGAGTGCTCGACGAGCAAGCGCGCGGCTATTCGCGAGAAACGCCCTGCTCATGTGAGCGCATGCAGGCGCACTCGCGCGAGCGGCCAATCCGGATCGTAAAAGTGGAGCACTGCTCGACTGCGGCGCCGTCGCGCGCCGGCGGAAAGGGAGCGGAGAAAAACGGCGGGAAAGAAAACTCGGGAATTCCCGAGTCCGAATCGAAGCGATTTTCCGCGCGTGCGAGCGTTTTTTCGCCGGCGATCGTTCCGCCGCGCGATCTCATCCAATTATCCAAGGATTATCTAATTATTAGAAAATATTACGTCAACCTGAACGACCTCAGGTACCTCGCCGGCACCACGAGAGCTTGATAATTGCTCGCTTCGCGTCTACTTATTTATAGAGTCGATTGTCGAAGATGGTGATGACTAAAAACCGCAATATTTTTCTCAGATTGATATGACAATAGATTTGCCTTGGATAAAATGGACAGCGAAATTATGCAACTTCGGAGGACTAATAATTTTCACAAGTAAAATATCGACTCGCTATTTCTTCGACATTTGACGAAGACTTTCTGTCTTCGCTGCATCGAAATGTTTCCTACGAAATGTTTCCTACGAAAATTTAAACACAAAAATGTCCCTAGCGTCATTTAACGACGTTCCAAGAAAATCTGAACAGTTTTCTCCTATCGCGCGATTTTTCGAATACGCGCGAGAGAAGCGGCGCGGCGCATCGCGCATCGCCGCGTTTCACAAACAAACTTCTCGTGCAAGAGGAAGTCCTTTTCCTCTGATTGCTAAGGCGGATTCATTAATAAGCAGCCCCGGAGAGACCGAGATAATTGAGCCGGCGGGGCCTGGCTTAACGAGAACGCGCGATCTGTCTCCGAAGAATCGACATGCCGACGTCAGTTGTTGAGCACGTTTTGTCGCGTGTACTTCATTTCTCTCGTCTCTCTGTTGCCGGAAGTCTCAGCTGCGTATTGAGAAGAAGCGAAAAGGAAGGAAGAGAACATCTAATCTGCGGTGACCGCGAGGTGGAGAGTTATAAAAGCGGTGAAACGACGAGAGGAGACGCGCGCGAGTGTCATTTTTTTTTTTCACAACGTAATCAAATGAGAAATACTTCGAGAAGCGTAATTCGCCTCTCGCTTCTCCCGAGAGAATAAAAATAATTAAATATCACCCGAGGCATGTCAAGCTTCGATAAAGCTTTAACATTTAACAGCCGAGAAGCTCATTAGCCTTTCCAATCGCCGGTATATCCGCAATTGGATATCCATTATACATTACGATTGTTGATTATTCAGTCAATTTATCACTTTGATAACTTGTCGCGTCATATAATTACATGCTTCGCGGAAGCTCGCGTTGTGCTATGATCTAAAGTCCCCCCCTCCCCAACCCTAATGTTTGTCTTTCCCTTCATCGCGTGAAAAAAATGTCCCCGGAGAAAAATGCATAATTCATCATACGTTCTCGAGCTGTTGACTCGAACTTTATACCTCCGCCTCACATTGCACAAGCTCGTTCCAGTCCCGCCTATAATCGCCCCCTCCCCCCTCCCCCCCGCCCATGCGGGGAGTTGCAACAAGGCCGGGGCATTAGCATCAAGCTCGTGTGCGTCCGAGTTTCTGCCTTTTCGCAAATCCAACATTGTGCGTAACGCGCATACACGTGCGATTACGCGCGCGGATCTCGCGCCACGCGTGGTTGCTCGCGTCTACCGAATATACTTTTGAGGCTCCCATCCCCCCTCGCTCCCCTTCTCTCTTTCTGTGCGTGCGCTTCCCATACGCGTACGGAGAACAACGACGAGAGCGTTACGTAATTATCAGGGAACGGCCGACGCGGCGGTGCCGCATTTAGTGACGGGCAATAACGGATTAGCCTGATACAGTAGCAGCGAGGGGGGGGGACGACGGCAGAGTATCGTAACGACGATTAAAATTAGGTAACCGCGGGCTGGGAAACGCGGGAGGAAACGGGCGGCTCGATCGCTGGGAAGGAGAGATCGGGAATGCGAGATTAATTTCCCGGGAATGCGACTCATTAGGCGCGCTCGCGCGCGATGAGCGGGAATTAATTATAACCGATGATCCATGGCGCCGCGACGTAACGGGTGGCGACGAGTTTTACGCGCGGTCTTAACGCGGTCTTAACTCGACTCGCGTCTAGCGAGGTTTACGAGGCTGCAAACGCGCAAAGAGACTCGCGATTGTGTTTCATTAACTGCGACCGTACAAGGGGATTTACTCGCGGCGCGAGAGAGTAAACGCTGACGCGTACGTTTGCTCGCGGGCCGATTTGCCGTTTACGAGGGGCTCGTTCCGTTCCCCATTTCGCTCCCGCGATATGTCTCGGACGAAAACGAGATTCGATCTGTGCACTGTGAACGTTCGTGACCGAAAGCGGTTCGGAGATACTCGCTCGTCGTGAAGAAAGGGAAAGGAAAAAAGTATCGAGCCTCAAATACATGTTACTCGAATCCAGCTATACTTTTGAGTTATCGTCGAGAATCATCGCCGATGAGAGAGAATCGCGCGGAAGTTACGCTCGTATTGATACGCGTTAATCCGCGGCGCAATGTGCGTGAGGAGCAAGACAGAAGGAGGATCCGTGTTACGGGATACTGTTATGACGCGAGTCTCACTCAATTATTATACGTCGTGATTACGTCGTTGCAGCGACGAACGGAATGAGAGGATTGTCCGCGGCGGTCACGGAAGAATCGGTCGCGCGAGGAGCACGCGCATACCTGCGAACACGTGAAAATACACACATACACACACCGAAAAAGATGCATACACGTAACGTGTGCGCGTAGCAGCACGCGAAAAAAAAAAACGCGAGTCAGAATGCGCGTAATCGTGCGACGCACTCGGGATTGTCGTTCCGCTTATGAGGAAATGAGGTAAATGGAAAACAAAAGAAATGCAACGACGTCCATACGACGGCGTCGTCGTCGTGACAATAGACGTTAATAGTCCTCACTTAAAGTTGACGTCACGTGAGAGGTGCTGAGATAATTGAAATTTAGATCCGAGATTCTCAGACGAAT